CTTGTCTTTTCATGTTTTTTGGTAAGGTCTTTTGATAAGCAAAAGTTTTAAATTTTAATAAAGCTCCCATTTATTATTTTGTCTTACACAGTTTATGCTTTTATTATATTAGATAATCCATTGTTGAAAGCGAGACATGTCAGCATTGCCCTGCTTGTTCTTCTAAGGAGTTTATGGTTTTAGTTTGTACATTTATATCCTTAACCCGTTTTGAATTTGTTTTTGTATATGATGTTTCATTTTTCTGCATGTGGAAACCCAATTTCTCCAGCACCATTTGTTGAAAAGACCCCTTTTCCCATCAAATGGAGTTAGCACTCTTGTCAAAAACCAGTTGACCATAGATGTGTAGATTTCTGCTCTGTCAATGCTATCCCATTGGTCTGTGCATCTATTGTTATACAGGTCCCCGGAGGAGGCTCTAATTAACCCCACTGCCCTCAAGTCGACTCCATCGCATAGTGACCTTATATAGGATTTCTGAGACTAAATCTTTTGGGGAGCAGACAGCTGCATCTTTCTTCAGTCGAGCTCCTGGTGGGTTTGAACCTTGACCTAGATAGAGGTTACCAGTCCAACGCTTAATCTGTATGTTTTAAAATCTACATTTTTCTTCTCCTTCAACATGGTTTTAGCTACTCTGGGCCTCTTGTTATTCTATATACAAGAGTTGAAGATTGGTGTTTCTTTTCTGTAAAGAAAGCTGTTGGAATTTTGGCTGGGATTGCATCGATTGTTAGATTACATTAGATAGTATTGACATCTTAACAATATTAAGTCTCCCAATCCATGAATATGAACAATCTTTCCATTTCTGTAAGTCTTTGTCAATCTCTTTCAGCAGCGTTTTATAGTTTTCATTTTGGAAGTCCTCCACGTCCCTGGTTAGATTTATCCTAAGTGTTTTATTCTCTTAAATACTATTATAATTGGAATTAGTGCCCGAGTTTTCCTTTCAGATTTCTCATTGTATATAGAACCCAACTGACTTTTTCCCCCCTAACTCTATTGTGAAGGAACTCTGGTAGCGTAGTGGTTACGAATCGGGCTTTGAACTGTAAGGTCAGCAGTTCGAAACTACCAGCTGTTCCGCAGGAGAAAGATGAGGCGTTCTGTTCCCGTTAAGATTTACAGCCTCAGAATCCTGTGCAGGGTCACTATGAGTCGGAACTGACTCCACGGCACATAACAACAACAACTCTATTGTGAATTGAGTGAAGGTTTATAAAGCAGATCATCAGTTTTACATTGTAAAAGTCATACATTTTGCTTAATTACAAAAGTTGCAATCCCCTCCATGTACCAACAGTTAGCAGTATTTACCTATTTACTTTAATTATTGCATTCTTCCCTGTGTCTCCCACTACCTTCATCTTTCCTCTGCTGATCTCCCTCTTGTATATTGCCTGCCCCATCACCCATGTTAACATGGGACTGTGTGGATCATAAAAACTGTGGATAACATTGCGAAGAATAAGTATTCCAGAACCCTTAATTGTGCTCATGAGGAACCTGTACATAGATCAAGAAGCAGTTGTTTGAACAGAACAGACCATACTTTGTTGTTGATGTGTGCCGTTGAGCCAGTTCCTATTCATAGAGAGCAGCTTGGTGGGTTTGTGGTTAGCAGTCCAGTGCTTATCTGACAGTACCACACCATAACTCCAAGGGCATTTGTTGTTAGTGCCGTCCAGTCGGTTCTGACTCTTAGCAACTGTGTATATGGTTTCTGAGGAGTGGTTGGTGAGTTTGAACTGTGTACCTTGCAGTTCAAATAGACCTTGAAGTCCATGTTTATTCTACATCACCACACCAGGACGCCTTCCAAGGGAACTCAAAGTAGTTTAAAATCAGAAATTTGTATGCCTGGATTGTTACCTTTTACTATACTTATTCATTCTGTTTACTGAGCAAATCATATGAGAAGCTGGATTATAAGAAAAGTAATGTGGATTTGGGATTTGGGAAAGCCTCATTAACAACTTGGGATATGCAAATGACACAGCCTTGCTTGCTGGAAGCAAAGAGGGCTTAAAATACTGATGAAGATCAAAGAACACATACAGCCTTCAGTATGAATTACAACCTAATGTAAAAATCATAAAAATCCTCAAAATTGGACTAATAGATAGTATGATAAATGGAGAAAAGATTGAAGTTGTCAAATAATTCATTTTGCTTATTTGATCTATAATCGACACTCAATGGAAGCAGCAGTCAAGAAATCCAAAGATGTATTGCATTGGGCATATCTGCTACAAAAGATTTTTAAATGTTAAAACGCAAGGATGTCAATTTGAGGACTAAGGTAAGCCTGAGCCAAGCCATGGCTATTGTCAATGGCCTCATATGCATATGTAAGTGGATAAAGAAGACCACAGAAGAATCAATACATTTGAATCATATAGTGTTGAAGAAAAATACTGAAAGCACCATGGACTGCCTGAAGAACAAACAAATCTGTCTTGGAAGAAATATAGCCAGAAAGCTCCTTAGGAGCCAAGATGACCAGACTTTATCTCTTGTTCTTTTAACTGGTTGTCAGGTGGGATGAGTCCTGGAGAAGGACAGCCTGCTTGGTAAAGTGGAGGGTCAGAGAAAAAGAAGACCCCCAATGAGATGGGCTGACACAGGGACAGCAACAGTAGACTCAAACATAACAATTGTGAGGCTGGCAGAAGACTGGGCAGTTCTATTGTGCATGTTGTTGTTGCTAAGTACCACTGAGTTGGTTCTGACTGTAGCAGCCCTATAGGGGGTTTCCTGTGAGCAGCTGGTGAACTTGAACCACCGACCTTACAGTTCAAACCAACCTTGAAAGTCCAGCACATTAACCCACACCAGGACTCCAAACACAGTTGTTAAATGTCATTGAATCTATTGTGTGTAAGATTGTTAATAGTTGGAATCTACTTGATGACACTTAACAACAACATGGGACACAGGCATTAGAATTATTATTTTAAAAATATTTATTTTCTACCACATCTTTAGAGGGTTTTTTTTTTTTTTTGGTTGTATTTTTTTCTAATGACTGTAATATACTAGTGCAGATTGTGTATATGAACATATCAGTACACATTTTTAGTGATGGACAGCTTTGTGGTTAAAAAAAAAATTTGAGCTCGGTTCAAATTGACAGTTTTAAATCTGGCCAGCTGGGTGATCTTGGCCAAGTCACTATTCCATGCTATCTATGGTTTTTCTGTGATCTTGCATGTTTGGTGTGGCAGCAAATCAAGAACAAGTATGTTTCCAGCCCAAGCCAGCACAGAATGGGCACATCATATGTGTGGTGGGGAGAAGGGGAGTGGCAGGGAGGGGACACAGGGTGATCTAGAGGAAATTCTGGGGTCTGCATTTGGAGAGGAGTCAGAGAGAGAAATTGGGTAGGGGAGAGGGGATGGAGGCCTCTGGGGCCCCATCCAAGGAGCAGGCATTGTAACCAGATGGAAGAGAAGAATGTTGTTCCTTGTTCCTATCCCAGCCCGTGAGGAGCCAGCCCTTCCCTAGCTGGACTGTTCCCTAGGGAACTCTCTGTCCAGAAATATTTGTCTGCTGACTTTTGTCAGCAGATCAAGGTTTCTGATTGGGATCCAAGGGCTCACGAGGCTGACACACAGCCATGTCTGTCTAGGGAGGCCTGGAGTTACACTCCATTGTCGCCACATTGTGTGGAGGGATGGGAGGCTGGCCTTTGGCCCCAGCCTGTCCTGTGCAGTGTGACTTTGGGCTGGGCCCCTCCATTCCCTGGGCTGCATGGTGCCCACCACCTATAGAGCTTTGGGTGGGCTTACCTGGAGGCCCTGCAGCCCTGACTTGAGGCGGTTCTTTGGAACCCCCAAGACTGAGGTCTTCTTGGGTGAGACTATACCTTCCTGGTGTGTCCTCAGTGTGATTCTGGGGCCAGACACTGTGGCAGGCACAAAGGAGGAACTTGGGGAATGTCTGGGCTTGCAGGAGGATGGGAAAGGAGGACGCTAAAGGAGATGAGAGGGTGAGAAGGCAGAGAGGAGAGTAGGGACAGAAGGAGCTCCTGCAGTTCTCTGCTTGGCACAGCCTCTGAATGGGTCTCTCTGCAGCATGCTCCCATAGTCAGCTTCACTCTTCCAGAGCAGCCAGATGGAACCTCCTAAGCTGGACCTCGGATGTCACTTTTCTGCGCCTAAACCCTCAGTGCCGCCTCCCAGACCTTAGATGCTCATTGAACCTGAGCAAGACCTAAGAGCTCTCCTGGGTGGGCCCACCACCCCTCCTTCCCCACACTCTCTGTCTTTTCGTTGTTCATATCGCCCATTCCCTGTCTGCAGTACCACCATCAGAATACTGTTCTTTTTACCCACCATCACTTTGGAGTCCTGGTGTGGCACTGTGGGATAATGCAATGGACCTCAAGGTTGGCTTGAACCACTAAGTGGGCTGTTCAAATTCACCAACCACTCCTGAGAAATTCTATACAGGGTTGCTATGAGTCAGAAGCAACTCAACAGCAGCACTTAACAACAACAGCAACCCCCACTGTGGGAGGTCAGGAAAGACTCCCAGAGGAAGTGGCTTCTAAACTGACGCCTTCTCTAATTTCTTTGGTCTCTTGGGCCCCAGCTCAGTGTTGCCCTATCACCTCTCACCTTAATTTGTAGTCTATTTGTTCACCTTCCTCCCGCTCTCATGTGGGCAGGGCCATGCCTGCCACACAGTAGCACTAGCAGCACACACTGACTACCTGGCCTGTGCTGACTACTGGATTCGTTAGCCTGGCACTAGGTCATTTTACAAACCCTTGAGGGAGAGATGAACATCCCAGTTTCACTGTTAAGGACAATGAAGGTGGAGAGACTTACCCACAGTTGAACATAGGGGTCGAACCCAGGGCCATCTGATCCCAAAGTCCCTGTGGTAACTTTCTGTTCTAAATAAAGCCAGGGAATTGTGGGTTAATATCCTGTCCTTTGATTGTGTTCCCGACAGGTCACGGGCAAGATGGCAGGTGCTGAGAGGAGCCAACTGTAACTTGGGCACCCATAGCAACAGCTTCGCCTCCTGAGGATGAAGTGGCCCAGGTGAAGTGTGGACCAGGCCCAATGGCCAGCTCGGGGACTGAGGTCCACTGGGCTGAGCCGGGCCTGGGGAAAGGGCCCCGGCCCCGGCGGCGCTGGGCCTGGGCCGAGGAAGAGCAGGCAGCTGTTGGGAGTGGCTCCCATGGCTGGGGAGAAGAAGGGCCCTTCCCCAGTGCCACCAGCCCAGAGCTCCTGGAAGACTTCCGCCTGGCCCAGCAGCGCCTACCGCCCCTGGAGTGGGAGCGGCAGACTAGTGGGCATCAGGACTCCGAATCTGGAGAGTCTGCAGAAGAGGGTGAGACTGACTACCTCTGCTCAGGTGGCCCCCCCAACTCCGTTATACCTCCTGGCATCATCCCTCCCCTCACACCTCATAACCTCATGTGTGTGTGGGGGGGGTGCGGGGCAGGCAGTGCTCAAAATATTAAAAAAATTCAAATCTATGATTAAAATTTTAAATTAAATTTAAAGTCTAAAATTTTAAATTATAAATAATCCTAATTTAATATCTTATAAATAAAAAGCTTTAAGATTTTAATTATATAAGCAATATGGTTCATTGTGGAAAAATCAGAAAATATAGAGGGAGAATTAAAAATGATTTATCAGCCCACCCACCTACCTCCAACCAGTCTTTTCCATATGTATAGGTGTGCAATGTAACATGCATGTGGGACAGTTTCTGTATACTATATTGTAACCTGCTTATTGTTCATTTAAGGGGCCCTGGTGGCACTGTGGGGTAGGCGTTGGACTGCTAACTGTAAGGTTGCCAACCAAGCCCACAAGATGCTCCTTGGAGAAAGATAAGACTCTCTCTGCTATAAAGATGTACAATCTCAGAAACCCTTTATAAGGTCACTATGAACTGAAACTGACTTGATGGCAATTTAATGGACGTGAACATTTCCCCATGTCTTTATTCTTCCATAAGTTATCCCTAATGCCTGCCTAGAATTCCATGGTACGGCTGTGCCATAAATTACTGGGCCAGTTTCCTACTACTGGGCACTGGAATACTTAGTAATTGTTTATATTATAATTATATATTAGTGTATCTTTTTACACTTGATTAATTTCTTGGTAATTCAAACTGATAGATCCAATGGGTAGGTCCATTTTTAAGATTTTTCAAATTCCAATATGTAATGGGAACATCATCCTTTGCTTTCTACAATAACTATGTTCCCTTAGTGTTGAGACCAACATGGATTAAAATTCTAGTTTTGCTTAGCAACTCTCTTTGTCCCCTGACACTCAGTCTCCCCATGTGTGCTATAGGAGTAATGATTTTGACCTTGAAGGTTGTGAAGGGCTCAGCTGATCAAGTGTATAAAGCATGGGGAATTACTAAGAGTGTGCTGCGTGGTAGCTATTGTGCTTAGTTTATGAATGAAGTGCCCGTCGCATGAGTCTCAGAATCAGGCAGACCCCTGGTGGATGGCAGAGACGCTGTTACCGGGTCTGTCTGAGCTGCTACTGCTGCCTGCTCAGCAACTGTTTCCGAGTTCTCCCTCAGGGAGGTGACTCCACTTCTGAGAATTGGCAGAGTTGAAAGAGCAGAGGCATCTCTCTCAGAGGTCACATGGTAACCCCTCTGTTATGATGTAACAGCTGCCACCACTTCCTGTGCCTCACTGTACCTCACTTATCCTACAGTGCCCCAGTAGGTAAAATGATATTATATACAATTACAAGCATTGGCTGCATGGATGATGAAGGGGTGGGTAAGGAATGTATGGGTGAGTGGGTGGTTGGATGGGTGGAAGGAGAGATGGGTGGATAATGGTGATCTGTGAGTGAGTAGGCAAGTGAATGGGGTCCTAGTATGGCACCGTAGGATCAGCTCTGGACTACTAACCACAAGGTTGGCAGTTCAAACTCACCAGCTGCTCCTTGGAAACCCTATACAGGGTTGCTATAAGTAAGAATCCGACTCAACAGCACTCAATAACAACAATAGGCCTGTGAGTAGGTAGATGGGTGGGTGGATGGTTGCCTGAAAGGATAGATGGTTGACTGGCTGGATGAGTGGGTAGAGGGATTTCTTGAGCACCTCCAACCTACTAATTATAACAACTCTCAAAATCTTTTCTTGGAACTGTGCATCTTTTATATCCCTTGCACCTTTCCTACTTTCCATTCAGTCAAGTGCAAATATTATTGAGCACCTACAAGAGCTCTGGGAGTGTAGTGGTTACGAATCGGGCTGTGAACCGCAAGGTCAGCAGTTCGAAACTACCAGCTGTTCTGTGGGAAAAAGATGAGGCTTTCTGCTCCCATAAAGATTTACAACTTTGGAAACCCTGTACAAGGTTGCTATGAGTCAGAACCGACTCCATGGCACATAACAACAACTAGGTAAATGGGAGTGTGGTGTTGTAGGATAAAACACTGGACTGCACGGTCAGTTTGAACCACAAGGTTGGTGATTCAAATTCACGAGCCGCTCCTCAGAAACCCTATACAGGGTTGCTATAATTAGGAACCAACTCGACAGCACTTAACAACAACAACAGCTATGCAAATGCAACTGTGAAGTGAAACAGACAGTGTCCTTGCCCTCACTGAGCCTGCAGTGTAATTAGGGAGATAAATATTCAGCAGTCACCTCCATAAATGGAAACTGCAGCTGTGATAGCATTGTAAGTACTATTGTTGTTGTTGTTAAGTGCTGACAAGTTGGTTTTGACACACAGCGACCTTGTATAGGGTTTGCGAGGAGTGGCTGGTGGGTTTGAACCACTGACCTTGTAGTTTGAAGATAACTTGCGGTCCAATGCTTATTCTACAGAGCCACATCAGAACTCCAGTCCTGTATTGTTGTTGTTGTTAGATGCCATCGAGTTGGTGCCAACTCATAGTGACCTTATGCACAGCAGAACGATACACTGCCCAATCTTGGGCCAACCTCACTACAGTTGCCATGCTTGAGTCCATTGATGCTGCCACTTTACCAATCCATCTTGTTGGGGGTCTTCCTTTTTTTCTCTGACCCTCCACCTTACCAAATATGATATCCCTCTCCAATGACTGGTTCCTCCTGACAATATGTCTGAAGTATGAGAGGTGAAGTTTGGCCATCCTGGCCTCTAAGAAGCACTCTGGCTGCACTACTTCCAGAATGGATCTATTGGTTCTTTTGGCAGCCCATGGCACTTTTAATATTCTGCTCCAATACCATAACTCAAAATCATCAATTCTTCTATGGTCTTCCTTATTCACTGTCCAGCTTTCATCTGCATATGAGGTTATTGAAAATACCATGGCTTGGGTCAGGTGCACCTTAGTCCTCAAGCTAACATCTTTGCTCTTCAACACTTTTAAAAGGGCTTGTGCAGCAGAGTTGCCTAACACAATACGTTGTTTGATTTCTTGACTGCTGCTTCTGTGAGTGTTGATAGTTGATCCAAGAAAAATGAAGTCCTTGACAACTTCAGTCTTTTCTCCATTGATAAGAATGTTGTTTATTGGTCCAATGGTGAGGATTTTTGTTTTCTTGATATTGAGATGTAATCCATACCAAAGGCTGTGCTTTTTGATCTTCATCAGTAAATATTTTAAGTCCTCTTCACTTTCAGCAAGCAAGGGAGAATTTGACCTAATTATGAAGATCTAAGAAGACTTCCTTAAATGAGGTGAAGATAAAATTAATGCCTGAAGGTCAAATAGGAGTTAACTCGGCAAAGGCAAGAGTCCTATAAGATAAGCACTGGACTACTAACCAGAAGGCCAGTGGTTCAAACCCACCAACTGCTCCTTGGTGGCTATGAGTCAGAACCAACTCAATGGCACACAACCACCACCACCATCACTTATCAGAAGGTCAGCAGTTCAAATCACCTGCTGCTCCTTGGAAACCCTATATTGGGTCACTATGGGTCAGAACCAACTCGATGGGCACTTAACAACAACAACAAAACAAAGAGAGGCTAACAGTTTTCCTGGCAGAGGGATCATCAGCACGTGCACAGCCCCATCCATTGTGAGAGAGAACATTGTGCATGCATGCATGTTATTAGAACAGGGGGAAGTTGAGGCAGGGGTGTGGAGAGAAATGAATCAGCTAATGGAGGCCCAAGTGGCAGGGGTCTGAGAACATATTAGAGTCAGCTTTTATATATCCCGGGAACAATAGGAAGATGGCAATGGGATTTAAGACGTGGGATGAGGAGGAGGATTAGAGGAGATGGTTAGGTGGCTACTTTAGTGGTCCAGGTGATTTGGGCAAAGGGGTGGTTGTGAGTAGGTGGGTCTGAGAGGTAGGTATGAGGTAAAATCGAAAGGGCCAAGTGACAGATTGGATTACAGGGGTTCGGGGGAGCAATGGCAAGGATGGCTCATAGGTTTCTGGCTTGTGTAACTGGATGAGATTGTGTTGCCATTGAAATTGGGAGCACTTGGGGAGACTAGGTTTGGGGTCAGAAAAATAAGTGCAGGGTTGGAGCTTAAAGGACCTTTGAGACAAGAAGAAGAGATGTCCCATAAGCATCTGGCCATATGGGGGACTCATTGGGATTCTTGTGATTACCATATGGTGAATAAGTAAATAGAATGGTTTAGATAAGATTGCACAAGTCTAGACCCAATATATGCCAAACAATGACCTGTATCTTTCCAGAGATTGAAGCAGAGGATGTGGACAGTCCAGAAGATTCCAACTTGCCTCTCTACTGGTTCCCTCAGCAGAATTATCAATCGGACATGACTGAAGAGGAGCCAGATGAGGCCCTTGGAAGTCCTCAAGCTGTTGAGGAAGCTGGAGAGAGCTCCTCATGGCTGGGGTATGAGGCTGGCCTCAACTCAGAAGGCAATGGTTCTGTGGCTTTGAGGCAAGGTCAGGCTAGAAGCTGGGTGGCCTCTGACAATGAAAGCAGTGGAGATAAGCTTCCAGAACATTCTGAGGTCAACCCATCTGTTGAGCTCTGCTCTGCAAGATCCTGGAGCAGTGGGACTATGAGCCTCGGCCACCCCAGTGACATCCTTGATTCTGCCTGGGAAGGAGAGACCCGTGTCCTCCAGCCCACTGCCCTGGCAGAAACCTTACCACAGAGTCCCAGCTGCCGCCTCCTAAATCCAAATGACAGAACTAGAGGAAGTGTTGCTCAGGCAACCCTCACAGAATTCCGTGATTCCTCTCCACCCTCACCCCACAGCCGCCAGTGTCGTGGAGATGGATGGAAAGAGACCACTAGCCTCACCCACCCTCAACCCAGAGACCAATCTTGGAAGCGGACAAGGATACCCCCTAAACCACTCCCTTCCCGATTCACTGGCTCTGTCGGCCCCCTGAACCCTCAGCATAGGCCAGCCCAGCAGGATAGACTGCTCAGGCAGGGAGCCACACTGGCTGGCCGCTCTTCTCATGCCTCCAAGTATGGCCGGGGGCGGCTAAATTACCCACTCCCTGATTTCTCCAAGGTGGGACCCCGAGTGAGGTTCCCCAAAGATGAGAGCTACCAACCCCCCAAGGCCAAGAGCCACAGCTGGCAGCCTCAGGGTGCTGCCCAGCCCCTGATCTTCAAGTCACCTGCTGAGATCGTGCGAGAGGTGCTGCTGAGCAGCGGGGAAGCCTCCTCAGCACAGGACTCACCTCTTTCACACCCCGTCACCAGGGTACCCCAAGAGTTCCAGACACCTGAACAAGCTACCAAGCTGGTCCATCAGCTCCAGGTGAGCTGGACTCATTTTTATGGGCCCAGAAAAGTCACCAGGGTATCTCTTGGGCTGGGTTGGAGACTGGCTGGGGTTGGGTGGCTTTGGGTCCAGCCAGGAGTCCCAGCTGTAGGAGAGACGATTGGACCCAGAATCAGGAAGATAGACCCAAGCTTTTGGTTCATAAGCATTGACTGCACTCCTACTGCAAGGATAACCCTATGTTTTGCTTGTTTGTTTTTAAATCCCACTTTGTAAACATTCAAATGTATAAAAGAAAGAAAATCCTATATGGACCCCCATCCACACAGCTTCCAACAATAGCTGCTCATCTTAACCTTTTTCATCTGTGACCCACCTCCCCTCCCCTCTCTCACTGGATTATTTTGAAGCAAATTTCAAACATCTAGTCATTTTATACAAAAAATATTTTAATGGATATCTTAAGATCAATTTTGTCTGTTTTTAACAAAGCCATCGTCACTCCTAAAAGTTAACTCCAATTCCTCAATATCCTCCAGTATCTAGTCAGTGTGTCTCATAAATGGCTTGTTTGTGTCAGTGTGTCCGAGCTGGGAGCCTAACTGGATCCAGATAGTGCACTAGGCCAATCTGCCTTTCAATACTCTGTTTTTCCCTCATCCCCTCACCCCATTCCAAATCTCTTTTAATCTACGAGTTTCTTCCTCTCATTTCTTCCATGTTTTCTGTAGGGAGCCCTGATGGTGAATTGAATAAGAACTAGACTGTTAACCAAAAGGTCAGCAGCTCTAATAACATTTGCTCCATGGGCAAAAGATGTGGCAGTCTGCTCCCGTAAGGCTATCCAGCCCTAGAGACCCTGCAGGGAAGTTCTCCTCTGTTCTGTGGGTCACTGTGAGTTGGAATTTACTAGATGGCAAAGGGATATCTAGTTGTTGAGAACACAAGATCCTTACTGTGAAGTTTCCCACATTTTGGACTGTGTTGATATCCTGCTGCCCTCTGATTTCCCTGCGTATGAAGAGGTGTGGAGTCCTGGAGTTGCACTGTAGGAAAAGCACTGATCTGCTAATCTGAAGGTTGGCAGTTCAAACCCACTGGCTGGTCCTAAAAAACCCTCTACAACTTAGCTATGAGTCAGAGCCGATTCAACAGCACTTAACAGCAACACCCACATGGGGAGGTGTCAAGCTGGAGCCCTTTGCGGTTTGTAGTCACCTGTCTGTTCATGTGATTGTTTCCCCTCTAGACCCTGAGCACCATGCAGGTAGGAATTTTGGGCAAGAGCACATCATAGGTGATGTGTGCTTCCCTGAGGATGCAGGGACTCCAGCTGACCTCTTGCTGTTGATGGCCATTGTCTAGGTCCAGCCATTCATTTGAGGTGACACAATGGTAGTATTCTAAATGTATTCTACTGATAGTGTTCTATCATTCTTTCTGTGGTTATTTGCTGGATTCTTCTATGCAGTACCACATTCCCTCATCAACTGTTTCGTTACCAAGGTATTGATTACATGGGAAAGACAGAATAGATGGGTTTTTTAAAATTATTTATTTAAACATGTCTTCCCAATAATGAGTCAGTTCCCTTCAAAGGTGACCAGGGCCATTTGCTTTGGTTTTTCCCCTGTAATGACTTGTCTTAATGACACACTTTGGTTTTGTTTAAGCTAAGTAGTGAACTCTGAGTTCACAGAACTGTGCTTTCTGAGTCTGGTTTTCTACTTCATTAAGTGATTATTGGGTGAGTCAGTCACTCATTCATTGAAAGTGCTTAAGCACATACTAGGGACACTGGGAGCAGAGGAGTGGAAAAGATAGGTGTGAGTCTGATCCCACAGAGTCAACAGATGGGCCGACATCCAGACATGATGGGGCCAGGCATCAAGGTGCATCAGCCCAGAGGCTCACTGTGTGACTGTGGCACAGGAACCTTGGTGGTGGGTCAGTCCTGGTGCCGCTTACACTCCTGAATTTGGGTATGTGAGCTCCTACTATCAAACTCTTTCCCTCTGAGGAAGCCCCATGAGCAGGACTGGGGGTTGCCTGCAAAGGTCACCCAGTGAGGAGGGGCTGCTGTGTGTCTGGGTGTGTGACCGTGTTCTTCTCCCTCTCCTGTAGGAGGACTACCACAAGCTCCTCACCAAGTACGCTGAGGCCGAGAACACCATTGACCAGCTGCGCCTTGGGGCCAAGGTACCAAGACTGGGGATTTTGGGAGTGTGAGCTTGGAGCCCAGGGAAATGATTCCATAGTCTTAGAGAGGGGCTGCCGCTTTTAGCATCAACAGTGGAACCCCAGTCGCTGTTCTACCACCAGATCCCACAAACCTTGGGAAATGACCTGGCCCTTTCTGGGCTCTGTCGCCTTTGCTATTGATGAGCTGTGATATCCTTTCATCCTACAATCTGAGGAGCTCAGAGATTTCTCCAGAAGTTCTTACCTTCCAGTCAAGACCATCTGGGCTTGACTCCTAGCTTCATTACTGTGTGACCTTAAGGAAGTTACTGGGGATCTCTGATCATCAAGGGCGCTACACATAATTTTTGTTCGACTCCTGATACTTGTTTCCTGGGCCTAATCCTTCCTGGATCATACAGTTGCCTTTCTCCTTACCCAGTGTCCAAGAATGTGAGTCAGGGACAATATGAAGGAGAAATATATCCACACTCTTCCCCAAAAGCTCTGACTGCAGCCCCTACCCAGTCCCCACCCCATCTGGTGAGAAGACTATGATGTCTAAACTTGGGTACTTCTGCTTTTCTGGGTGAGGCAGGAAGTGGGACCTGTTGCATCTCTCTGCGGCTTGTAGCCTGCCCCGTACACCCCTCTTACCCCATCAGGCAACTGTGGAGGAGGGGGTGAGAGCTGTGATGAAGAGATGGGCTCCTCACCAACCCTGTCTCCAGGGTATACGTAGGCCTGCTCATTCCCAACATGCTCCCAAATCCCTCCCAGCTGCCAGCTCTGCCCTCAACCAATCTAGAGGCCCTTCCTGTGACCCCCGAGTGGAGCAGCCATATTAGGAAAACTGAAGGGGCCCTGTTCTGGGAGTAGACATTCTCATGCATTCCCACACCTGCAGGCTGGTCTCTTCACACCCTCACCTCATTGGACCCATCTGTAAAGGTGGTTGATCAGATCTGCCTCTGGAATCCAGAGGACTAGATGTCCAAGGCTTCTTACAGTTCTGTGAATCACTGAGCCTGATCCAGGGGAGAGGGGCAGGGAGATTTGACGAGGCTTCCTCTCCAGGCAAAGTCCTAGAAGGTCAAGGAGAAAAGAATTGGTATGTTGTCCAAACTTTTTTGCTCCCCCACTTTACTGATGGGAAAACTGGGCTTGCAGGATGGGTAAGAGGCTGTGCAAGGTCACAGCTGTTCTGGGCAGAGGGCAGAAGCATCTGCTCCCTTAAGCCAGTCAGTATATGACAGCTCCGACCTGGTGCATGCCTTGCATGTCATGTGAGTCAGGGGATACCATAAAGGTGCTTGTTGAGAGCCCATTGAGTGTTAGATGCAGAGATAGATGTGTGAACAGGGTAGACAGCCTCTTAGTGGACTGACCCAACACAGTGGGGACTCAGACCCTCACCTGTCACCCGAGTCGCAGATCCTGTTCTGTACGTGTAAATGTATGTGTCTGTGTGTGAGAGAGATATACATAGAGAAAGAAAGGAAAGTTGTGGAAGCTGGGATTGGTTTACCCCCTTTCTGAAACAATGACCCCTTGACCTTTGGTTCTCCTCAGAGGAAGGTGTGTAAACGTAAACCGGACTCTACCCCCTATGACTCTAGTCCTAATCTCACAGATAGAGATTCACCCAAAAGAGTAGCTGGAGACAGGACTCCCAGTCCCAACCCCAGAGGAGAATTTGGAACCCCAGAGTGGGGAGGCAGCTGGCTCCGGGTCCCTCTAGGGCCTGAAGCAGAGCAGGGATCCAAGCTGGGCTTCTCACTCTGTCTAGGAATTACTTCCTGCCCCAAAGATTCCTGTTCAGTACTCTTCTCAGAAAGTCCATTTCACAGAGACCGTACTGCTCCTCAAACGGAGCTTGGGCAAACCCACAGGAAGGACACTGACATTCACAGAGCAGTTGAGAGGTACCAGGGCGCAGTCTTTGTGCACCACAAGGGTATCTCACGCCATCTTCTCTACCTGAGGAGACAGCTTCAGCCAGGTGGGGTGGCTTAAACCTACGTCTGTCTGGGGGTCTCTTTACTCCAAGTCTGAATCAAACCCCAGCACTGGGGTACAGCACTGGGCAGAAGCAAGGGAACATGGTCACACTAGTCATAGTTATGATAATAATAGTAATATGTGATGTGAATGACCACGGTCCTAAGTAATGTTCACAGGGGCTTCAAAAAGTTTATGGAAAAATTCCATTCTCTTTCAATTCTGTATTTTCATGAACTTTTTGAAGCTCCCCTCTCATAGTTGGGGAAACTGAGGCACAAAGTGGTTAAGTAACATTTTCAAATGTCATTCAACAAGTAGATGCCATCACTGGGGTTTGAACCCAACATATGGGATCAGCGGTTGCTAGTAAGCCCCACCTTCTCTAGCAGAACCAGAATGCATAACAGAAAGAGAGGCTGACCAGCCAGCTCCCCTGCCTTGGGCTCCATCACCCTGCAGTCTGGCCTAGGAGCAACAGTGGACCCTGAGCCTAAGAGTGGGTGGTGGGAGGGAGTGGGGTGAGCAGCCAGCCTTCATCAGGAGCCTCTGGGGGCTCTGTTCCCTACAGTAGTGTCTTCAGAGTTTCTTTTGATGTCTCCACATTCGCTGTCTTGTTCTTGCCATCTCCACACCTGTGGATCTGGGTGATTACAAGGGGCTAGGCAGATCAGCAGTCACCTCAAGAAGTATTGGAGTGAGGACATAAAACTGCCTCTCCCAAAGTGGAGGGGTGATGAGGGAGGTTTCAGTGTTCAAAGGAATTGGGAAACACTTCCTCCTCTCTCTGCACCTCCCCTGCCCCATTCATAAGCTATTAGCATTTTAAAGGCTGTGAGAAACCCTTCTGTGCAGTAAGGTTAATAGTCATTCATTCCCTTAACCCAGTGTTTCCCAAACCCACTGCTCAACCCGGCCCAGAACCCTGATGCATCCTCTGAAGCATCAGTACCACGAAGCACCTTTGAGACACTCTGCTTGAAAGGCTGGCCCTAGGGTGTGTCCAGGGAAGTAGGTTCTGGAAGGGGCAGGCCTGAGCAGCTCAGCACTAGCCCCTCGTCCCCCACCCTGGGCATCTGCACAGGCTTTTGACTCCAGTTTTTCAAGCACCACTTTGATGCCTGAAACAAAGGGGTCTCCTGTCTCTCTTGTCCCTCTCTCAGCCTAGGAGCCGCTTGTTTCTAATCCCTCACCCCCTACTTTGGGCTTTGGTGGGCCTAGGGCTCTGGAGAGAAACACAATGGGGAACCTCCCATGAGATCTCAGCCATCTCTGAAGGAGAGGAGTACGGGTAGATGATCTAGACGGGCCCTCACAGGCCAGTGTGAGCAGATGGCTGGCCAAGAGGATTATTAAAATCCTGCTTTGTTCTCATCCTATGAGGCCTGCCCCTGAAAGTGGGGGAGGAGGACAGCCACGCTCGGTGATTGTCCCTCACTTTGGAGTAGATTTTCTTTTCACAACCAGGCCATGAAGAGCAGCTGCAGCAGGGAGAGGCAACCAGAAAGCCACCTTGCCCAGCTGGCACTTATTCCTACCCACAACTTGGCCTTGGAGCATCAGGGACTCAGTAAAAATAGCCCACCTGACATTGTGACAGGCAGGTGCCGGTGTGGCACACGGGACAGGAACTTTTTTAAGGAGATGTTTAGAAGGTTATACTGGTTTCCCAATGGAAAACACTTCCATTAAGGTCGAATAAATAATGATGATGATTGTAGTGGTGGTGATGATGATGTTGGCAGTGGTGATGGTGATAATAGTTATGGTGGTGAAAATGATGGTGTTGCTGGCTGGTGGTGATGGTGTTGGCAATGATGCTGCTGAAAATGATTATGGTGACGATGATGTTAGTGATAATGGTGATAGTGGTGTTGGCTGGTGGTGATGATGATGGTGATGATGGTGGAGATGGTGTTGGTGTCAGTGATGGCAGTCACTACCATTTTTTGAGCCCTTTGTGCACAGAGTGGCTAGTCAAATGCTTTAGGACTTAGGTGGGGAGGTGGAGCCTAATGTAAACCTGGAATCTGCCTGCAGAGCCCACACTCTAACCCAGGAGTCGGTAACTGTTTTAAGCTTTGCAGGCCATACATTATAGCATAATAGCAACCATAGATAGCAACAACTGAGTGTGCTGTGTGTCATAAAAATTCATATGCAAAACCAGACCATAATTTGCTAAACAATATTGATTCTTCCATCATTTAGATTGTCATATATTATAATTAATATTAGTTCTACTAATATAGTTATTATAATATATATGATTATATATAACTAATATTAGTTACAATCTATAGTTATTATACTATATATGGTTATATATTATAACTATCATTAGTTATAATATATAGTTATATATGGTTATATAGTATAACAAATATTAGTTACAATGTCCATGGTTATATATTATAACTAATATTCATTATAATATATAACAATATATAATACAACTAATATTAGTTATAATATTGTTGTTGTTGTTGTTGTTAAGTGCCGTAGAGTCGGTTCCGACCCACAGCGACCCTGTATAGGGTTTCCAAGGAGCGACTGGTGAGCTTGAGCCGCCGACCTTGCAGTTCAAACAGCTCTGCAGTCTGGCGCATTAACCCACAGTACCACACCAACAATATAAATGATGGAATCATATAAATCTCCATCATTTAAGGATGAAATTAGTATTCTAAATAGCCCAATTTGTGGGAGAGAAGTCTAGAGCCAGACAGATGAGTGACACAGGCCATTTGATGCTTCATATTTTAGAAGAATCAATATTATTTAGAGTAGGACTGGGCAAATTATTTAATTATAGGAGCTCTGGTAGTATAGTGGTTACAAATCGGGCTGCTAACCTCAAGGTTCAGCAGTTCGAAACTACCACAGGAGAAAGATGAGGCTTTCTGCTCCCGTAAAGATTTACAGCCTTGCAAACCCTGTGCAGGGTCACTATGAGTTGGAACCAACTCCACGGTACTTAACAACAACAACAACATGTTAGTTAAAATCCCAGGAGAAAGATGAGGCTTTCTGCTCCAGCAGAAAACCCTATACAGGGTCACTATGAGTTAGAACCAACTTGACAGCACTTAGCAATAACAACATAGTATAATTATAAATTACTATTATAAGTATGATTAATATAAAAATAATTAACAGTGGAAACTGTAATTTTTTGGGTTACACAGAGCAGGTTTTCCTCTCGGTTTAAGTACTTAATAATGAGGTTTTCAGTACATGACTTAACGTCTCCAAGGCTCAGTTTCCTATTCTGTAAAATGGGGGTGATGGCCCCTGCCCTGCCTCCTTCAGGAATGCCATCAAGAGAGAATAAAAGGCCATGAAAACCTTCACCAGGGTCTGGCCCCATCCCAAGGTCTTCATTAAAAGCAGTGTGTTGAGCACCTGAATGAAAGTGTCAATGAAGTGAGCCCTTTTGGGTGTGTTTGCCCAGTCCTGACTAGAATCAGCCTGTGCCTCTCATCCCTCCCACAGGTGAACCTGTACGCAGATCCACCCCAGCCCAGCCACAGTGTCCATATGGGAACAGTGTCACAGGGGACCAAGGTCTTGTCCTTCACCATTCCACAACCTCGCACAGCAGATTGGCGGCCCAGCCCCACCTCTGAGGTCTCTGAGGTCTCAGGTGAGTCTGAGAGAGGAGACTGAGGGTGTCACTCTGCTCTTGGGCATATGTTCACCTTGAAATGTCATTGACTTCAGGTTAGGGGGAAGGTGAGGTGAACACCCCCTCAGAAGTTAAATGGGGACGTGGAAAGTGTCCCACTCCGAGCCAGAGCAACCCGTTCAAGTCCTGCCTCTGCCATTAGCTGGATGACATAGGGTGAATTGCATAACAAACAGCTGTGCCATTGCACTCTGACCAGGCCCTACATTAAGTCTTTGACCTCCATGATCTTCGTCATTCCCACATCAACCTGGTGTGGTCTGCACTGTGGTTACCTCCACTGACAGTTAAGGAGACCAGAACTGAGACAGGCGACATGATGAAGGTCACACAGCCATGACATGGAAAGACCAGGACTTGAACCTGTGTTTTTCTGAGTTAATCCCCCACTATTAACCATGACATTGAAATGACTCCTTTGATAGGGGAGACATAAGAGCCAGGAACCCAGAGGCCTGGTGTTGGCCCCATTTCTTCCAGCTGTGTGATCTAGGGCAGATGTAGGCCTTGTTTTCACCCATAAACAGGAGACAACACGCTGCCCTGCCCACTGCTGCAGGACAGTGTGAAGGTGGACACGATGACTAAGCTGTAACTTGATGATGGAGGTGATGGGGTTGAGGTTTGCCATTGTCTTTCAGCCCCTAGAGGGACTGTGCCTGACTCCAACTTTCAGTGGTTGTATTTTCCAGGATGGCAGTCAGCCCAAGGAAAACTGAGTCCCTCCTCACCCACCAACACCCCCACCCCAGGGTGGCTTCCAGACAACCAGGGTGTCCCCAAAGACCAGCCCTCAACAGAGCAGACTCAGGCACTGGCATCTCAGGCCAGGCGGTTCCTGGCTAAGGTGAGTGGAATCCTGGCTTTGCCTAATAAAAGCAAAGCCTCTGCCCACTTGGATGGGGAGCCACCATGTCCATTTTCCTGCCTAGGGGCCAGAGTTCTCTCAATCATCCAGGAAACATGATCCCTTCTCGTTGCTTTATAGACCACGGGGCTCCAGCCTCCTCCATGCCACTCAAACCTAGGTTTAAACCCTTTTGTTTTGGCCTTGAGTCTCATCAGATCCCTCCAGATGTACTTGACATCTGTTTTGGAGGAGACTCCCAACCCTTTCAGGATTCTGGAAGGGTAATGGAACCCTCTGTCTTAACTTGTCTCTTCAGGATAAATCACCCCACTTTCTTAGTTCATTTCTCAGTTACCTCTCAAAGGGCATTTGGATTTTCATCAAATTGTCCAAGTAACTCAATTGTGTGTAGTCTGTTTATATGTACACACTTGGTCTTATTCCCAAAGTGTTTTAAAACATTTTCTGAAAATACATACATTATAGGCATAGTCTGGAAATGAAATGAGGAAACTGGAGTAAAGGGGAAGTAAGGGTAGAAAAAAATAAAGTGAAGTTAGGATGAAATGAGTAAACAAAATGTTCTGCTTGGCTCTGAACGCTTCAGAGTCAAATATTTGACTTTGAACTTCTTAGTTGTTGATGCAAAAAGGAAAATGCGAGTTACATGTATCACCCTGTCTGTACCACAAATTCCTTCAGAAAAACACCATTGCTTTTCCCATCACAGGGCTCTTAGGGGCCCAAGGCTGCACTCTGCTCCCCATTCTTCTTTCTTAATGGCAGTGAGATCCCGATTCCTGCTTCCGAGATGGCTCCTTTTCAACCTAGCGTGATGTCAAAACCAGCCAATCTGCACATACACCCTGTGTGCATGATCCCACCCCACATAGTGCCACGCTCCTTATTTACATTATTAGCTAGCGTCCCAATTCCCTTTGTAGGCCACAAACATCTAATTGTTCTGCCCAGTCATTTGGTAGGAATTCTAGAGACTGGCTTGTTCTAGAGACATTTTGTGTTCAATGAAGTATACTGCTAAAGTTAATTTGACCTGTTTCTTTTTGCATTTTTAGTGGGGCTACTAGAACATTTTAAATTGTACCTGTAGCTCACATTATATTGCTGTTTAAATTTGTTGTTGTTGAGTGCTGCCGAGTCGATCCCGACCCATAGCGACCCTGTATAGGGTTTCCAAGGAGCAGCTGGTGAGTTTGAACCGCCGACCTTGCAGTTCAAATGGCTTTGCAGTCTGGTGCGTTAACTCACAGCATCACACCAGGACTCCCTGTTTAAATGATCAGCCAAGAAATTAACCATTGTGCCACCAGGGCTCCTTAATATGTTATAAAAATTATATCATATGATTATTATCAACACTATATACAATTATAGAGTCCTGGTGTGGCATTGTAGAATAAGGTGCTCAACCATAAGGTTGGTTTGAACCACAAGGTCGGTTTCCAATCGCTCCTTGGAAATCACTTGATGGCACTTAACAACAACAATATACAAATATATACTGTGTTATGGTACAGGTGACGAATATGTAAATATCACAAATATTACTAATATTTTAAATATAGGATATAATATGCTATGTATTTATTAAATTAGACTTCTTAAATTAGACTTCTCTGGTAGCGTAGTGGTTACGAATCGGGCTCTGAACCGCAAGGTCAGCAGTTCGAAACTACCAGCGGTTCCATGGGAGAAAGATGAGGCTTTCTGCTCCCGTAAAGATTTACACCCTCGGAAACCCTGTACAGGGTCGCTATGGGTCGGAATCGACTCGATGGCACTTAACAACAACAACAACAACAATGACACTATAGGATCAGCGTTGGACTGTTAACCACAAGGTCAACAATCTACTAGTTGCTCCTTGGGAACCTTATACCGGGTTGCTATGAGTCAGAACCAACTCCACGGCACTGAACGATAGCAACATATAGTTAGAGAGTCCTTGTGTGGTGCTGTAGGATAAGCACTGGGCTACTAATCACAAGGGTTAGCAGTTCAAACCCACCAGTCGCTCCTTGGAAACCCTATACAGGGTCACTATGATTCAGAATTGATTCGATGGTACCTAACAACAACAAATAATATATCATTATAACACATGACTTATTAATTAAATTATTTAATTTTATGTTACATGGTAGCACTAGTCATTTGTTTCGTTCTTTTGTAAAGGAAATACAAACACATGGTAAAAACCCTCACACAGTACAAAGTTCATTCAGTGAAAAACTTTGTTTCACTCACACCATTCTGTCCGTCAACTCTATTAGAAGCTCACAGTGTTGTGGGTGTTTTGAGCACTCATGCACAATTGTTCAGTGCACACTGATTCATTTATAGAAATGGTCACATGCCTAGCTACTGTACTTTGACTGTTTTAGCTCCCTAAATTTAAATATTTATTTTGGCACAGGCAATGAATTCACATGGTTTAAAGCTCAAAAGGAACAAACCACAAGCAATGGAGCACTGTAGGATCAGCACTGGACTGTGAACCACAAGGTTGGCAGTTCAAACCCACCAGCTGCTCCTCAGAAACCATATACAGGGTCACTATGAATTGGAACCAACTCAACAAAAACTCCTTGTCTCCTAGCCACCGAGCTTTCCTTCCCAGATTTCTTGTACATTCTCCTAGAAATTGTTTATCATATACGAGCACATGCATTTATATGTTTATGCCTTATATATTTAACAGAGTCCTGTGTGGTGCTGTAGGATCAGCACTGGACTGCAAACCACAAGGTCGGCAGTTCCAACCTGCCAGCTGCTCCTTGAAAACCCTAGACAGGGTTACTATGAGTCAGGGCTGACTCACTGGCACTAAACAACAACATCTATTTTATACAAATGGTAGCATATGGTACACAATGTCTGGTCCCTTGCTTTGAGACTGGAAAATCAATTTTGGAGATGCTGAGCTATAAGAACACACACATGTGCCTTCCTTAGTAATTTATAATAATGGCGGCACACTCTGCCACATGTACATGTGCAGGCCTTTTCCTCGCTCCCTCTAACCATGCTGTGGTAAGTATCCTGGCTCATAGGCCCAAAGGGACACGAGCAGGTGTGCTTTTCTGTCCTTACTTCCTAGTGGTTCCACTTTGAAAACTCAGCCATTGACAACCCTCTGGAACACAGTTCTTCCCGGGGCTGCCTGGCCAAGGCCTGGGGTGGATTGTTTCCCAGCACCAGCCACCCTGTGATTGACTGACAACCCTTACCCCAAGCTGGGCCCAGCTTATAATGTGGGAGTCTGCAGTGCCTGTCTTCCTGAGGCCAGGTTAATGAGTGTGTTCCTTCCCCTTCCCACATCCAGGTGGAGTCCTTTGAAGACCTAGTGCGTTCAGGGCGGCTCACACCACAGGACCAACTCAAGGTACTGCCCAGTTCAGGAGATGCCCACGTAGCTATCTCTGAAGCTTCGTGTGCTGCAAGACCAGAGAATCCTAAATACAGTGTCTCCTCTTAGCTTGACTTTGCTTAATAATGGTCATTATAACACAACAATTCCCACTTACTAAGCCATGGTGCTTTGTAAACAGGAGGGAGAGATCCCTAAACTGACAATTATTACTTTATTTCCTTTTGGTTTCTATAATTTAAGTAGCTATGTTTGGGAGCACGGTAGCTCCATATGAGAACCGCTGACCTGCAAGTCTGCCAGCCACTCCACGGGAGAAAGATGAGGCTTTCTGCTCCCGGGAAGATTTAAAGCTTTAGAAACCCTGTACAGGGTCTCTATGAGTCGGAACCAACACCACAGTGTTTGATAACAACAACAACAACTTTAGCTTGGTTTTTATAGTCACATAGGAGTGCTGGGGGTGCTGTAGGGTAAGCACTAGACTGCTAACTGCAGTGTTGGCAGTTGAAACCCACCAGCTGCTCCAATAGAGAAAGATAGGACTGTCTGCTCCTATGAAGAATTACAGTCTAGGAAACCCTAGAGTTAGTATGATTTAGAACCTACTCGATGGAATTGGGTGCAGATGGCTGCTTACTGGAGTTCATACCCACTCAGAGGCCTCTCAGAAGAAAGACCTGGTGATCTGCTTCTGAAATACCAGCCATTGGAAACCCTATGGAGCACACTTCTGTTCTGACACACGTAGGGTTTACAGTGAGTTGGGGTCGACTCAGCAACAACTGTGTTTGCTTTGTGGTCCTATATGAAGTGCAGGTTCCCACTGCATCCCCAGGTCTCAGTCAGGAGCAGATGCCGCTCTCCAAGTGGGGTGTGCTGAAGGGAGACAGTGCTGGCAGAGATGTGGGCACAGTCAGGGGAACCAGTGTCGAATGGGTAGCAACCCTCTGGGAATTGTTGCCACCCCAGGCCTCTCCCCTCCTACCCAGGATCTCCTGTGAAGGTTCAGCTGATGCTCAACACACCAATGAGGGTAGGGAGAGAGGCTGAGAGAGGGTCCGGAGGGGCAGGTGGAAAGGGAACCAGGACACAATATTCACAAACAAATATTATCGAATGAGTCTTTCCTTGTGTTATTAGATAAAAATCATTTCCATTTTCACATTTACAGATGTGTGATATGTACCCTATTAAGTGAGTTGGCTGAATTTTAATTTGACAAAAGGTCCTTGAAAATTAAAACAACTCATTTTATTTCTCTCAGTCCTTATTTCTGCATATACGGGGAAGTTGAGAGCTATTGGAAGAGCAAAGCTTGACTAAGGACAGGGTTCTCAGTTGGCCTTGACCTTGGCCTTGATCAGTCCTCAGTAGAAACAGCAATGGGATCGATATGTCTGGAATCATGAGCCCATTCCCACAGTTTCAGTCATTATCACAGTACTGTGTGTGTGTGGGGGGGAAGACCTAGAGGAGTCCTGGTGTGGCACTATAGGATAAGCACTAGACTGCTTAGCACAGGTCAGCGGTTCAAACCCACCAGCCGCTCCTTGGAAAGCCTATACTGGTTCGGTCGCTGTGAGTCAGAACTGACTTGATGACACTTAACAACACAAGGGGCCTAGCATAATTGTTAGGACCATGGACTCTGGAGCCAGGAAGCCTGAGTTCACATCTCGGCACTACAACTTGTTCACTCAATATATGACCTTTCCCAACCTAGAGAACCTCTCTGTGCCTTAGTTTCCTCTCTTTTCAATGAAGATGACAATTGTCCCCTCTCATTAGGATTGTGATGCGGCACCAAGTGCTTTATCCCAGAGTCTCATGTGCAGTGGATGTTCACTATCACCAGAAGTGGTGATGGCATTGTCTATACTGATGGTCTGTAAGAACTTGGGAGAAGAAACACTAGTCCACAGCCCACAATTTTGCAAATCAAGAATGAGAATCCAGGGTCTCTCAAGTACTTGATCCCTATGGGGACTTAGTGCTAGAATGCCTGACACTAGGACTGGCTTGGAACACTGGAGTCCATGTAGGTCTATGCAGGAAGGGCTGGTGCCAAGGCTCTAAGCAAGGCCTCTGCTGTGCCAGTCCGATGGTCGAGGCTTTCTTGAGGAGAGCTCGGCAAGGGTAGGCAGGCTCCAGAGGTTCCCAGCCTCTATTTCCAGGAACTTGGGAGGCCTCTGTAGACTGAGGCGAGTCCCATGGCCCATCATGTCTGCAGGGTCAGAGTCGTGGAGCCTGGTCACTCAAATCCCCTGGTCTGGTTCCGTTCCAGGGCTTCCAGCGGCTCAAGTCTGCCCATGCGGCCCTGGAGGAGGAGTACCTGAAAGCCCACAAAGACCAGCACCTGGATCAGCAGCCGGCCAGCTCCCAGGGAACATCTGGGAAATTTGATCCTGGCAGGTACGTCCTGGGGAGGGGGCCCAGGTGGATAGATGGGGCACCTCCCAGGTTCCCACTATGACAGAGGCAGCTCGCCCTCATAATTCATATACAGGGGACAGGGAGAGAACTTATCCCAATTAGCAACACATCCAAACGGTGGGTTACTGGGAAGCTGAGATTTGGGTCCATCTGCACTCACTGCCATGAGGACAATTTGGGAACAGAGGTCAAAGGGGGAGGCCTTACTCAAAGTCGCACGGCCTATGGGTGGCAGAGCAGGGACCAGGCTGAATCCTGGTGGAGTCCTCTTTCATTTTGCTTATTTTGAGTTTCTATAACATGTGAATGATCGCATGAAATGAGCCCCAAGGAACCCTGGTGACACGATGGGTTAGGCTAACTGCAAGGTCGGCAGTTCTAACCCACCAGCCACTCTGCAGAAGAAAGATGAAGCTGTCTGCTCCTGTAAAGATTACTGTCTTGGAAGTCCTGTAATGGGTCCCTGCGAGTCAGAATCCACTAGCAGGCAGTGGAAATGAACCCCAGAAGGACTCTCCTATGGCCTCTGCTTGGAAGCACTTCCTCCCAGTCCTGTCTCATGTGCTGTTGTCTTGGGATCCCAGTGTCTGTCTGCCCATTGCAGAGAGCTGGAGGCAGAGATATTCCAACTGGGAATTCGCCTGGAAGAGTTCAAGGACCACGTGGACCAGCACCAGCAGGAACCTGAGCGAATAGGCTCAGACTTGGCTCTGGACAGTCCTCCAGCCTTGCCTTCCCCTGGCCAGCCAATGGGTTTGCCCTCTCCTTCCGGACATGGGCCCACACCAGCCATCCAGCCTCCCTACCCTGAGGTAATACTTTGCCCAGCCATATTTGTTTGTTTCTCCATTTATTCATTCTTCTATTAACTCATTTCTTCATCAAATATTTATGGAATGTAAACAACAGCTAATATGTTGTTACATGCCTGCGAGTCACTTCCTACTCAAAGTGACTCTGTATAGGGTTTCCAAGAATGGCTGGTGGGTAACCTTGTGGTAACAGTCTACGTTCACCCTACAGTGCCACACCAGAATTTCCATACGAATATAGTACCTATTTTTTTTTTTTTTTAAGGAAAATGATATTCATTTCAGGTAGCATTATTGTTGTTGTTGTTAGGTGCCATTGAGTTGGTTCTGATTCATAGTGACTCTATACACAACAGAACAAAACACTGCCCAGTCCTGGGCCGTCCTCACAATTGTTGTTACGCTTGAGCGCATTGCTGCTGCTACTATGCCAATCCTTCTCGTTGGGGGGGTCTTCCTCTTTTTTGCTGATCCTCCACTTTAACAAGCGTGATGGCCTTCTCTAGGGATGGTCCCTCCTTAATAATAATGCTAGGCAGGACCCACACCTGTGATGGGGATTCCATAGGAACAAACAAACCAAAGATGACATCTATTCTCCCCTCATGGAGTTTGCCGTGTAGGTGAAGATGTTGCACAGTTAGTTAATTATAATTTGTGATTGGTGCACTGAAAGAGAATTATGGAGTTCTGTGGGAGTAGCTAACAGGTAGCATGAATGATTTGGGGGATCAGAGAAGCCTTCCCCGGTGAAGTCATGTTTGAGAACTGGAGGTTGAGTAGGAATAGCTCGGTGCAGAAGGAGAAAAGTCATTCCGGCAGAGAAGTAGTCTGTGCAAAAACCCTGTGGCTGAAGTGTGGGAAAGTGAGGAGCATAGTTATCTGAGATGTGACCTAAGAGTCAGGGAGGAGCCATGTGATATAGTGTCTTGAGGGTCACATGTAGGGTGTGGCTGTAGACTCTGCTGGAGCTTTCCAAAGGGGCCAGTCATAGGAGGATTTAAGGGTAGACCAGTTAGAGGTCACTGCTATGACGCAGGGTAGTTGTCAGGGCAGAACGAGATGTGCGTGGTCATGAGAGAGGTTCAGAAGGTAAATCTGACTGGACTTGGAGTGGCTGTGAGAGGGAAGGGACCTAAGGATGCCCTCCAGGCTTCTCGCTTATAGAACCAGATGAGACCATTTTGCAAAGATGGAAAACATTAGATAAAGATTTCATGTAAAAGGGGCTCAGAAGAATTCTTTCCATTCCTACCAGCCTCATGGGCAAATTTTGCAGTTGAGCAAACTGAGCATAGAGACACAGTGGTGGGGTGTCTGGGTCTGCAAACTCCCTGTTGTCTGTGCTGCAAAGACTTGTCTGCTGAGGACTGGAATGGGAGGAAGGCTCTGGAGTGTTAGATGGGGCAGGAAGCTGGCAGGGCTGTGTCAGTGTAATAGCCGTGAGAGATGAGGTCTTGGCGGTCCAACAATTTGGGGAAAATTCTCACTGTGCTCATGCGAGAGCATGCAACATCTCACGCACTCAGAGTAAAAACCCGGGTGCATCACTTGGAGGGTTTCCCATGCTCCCCCTCTGAAAGTACTTTGGGGGGCTGGAGAGGTCATCATGGAATGGAAAGGGGTCTGGAGACAAATTGGGTTCAAATATTGACTCTGCCACTTGCTCTGTATGGCTTCTGGCAAATCTTTCTTCCTTCTTGAGCTTCAATTATCTGTCAGTAAAATGGGTTCTAATAAAAGCATGTACTGGCTTTTTAAGACTTTTGTGACATGATATGTGTACAGCACTTGGCACGTAGTAGGTGCTCAGTTAGTGGAAGCCAGTACTGAAGCTCACATACAATCCCCACATTTGTCACACGCATAAAAGGCTGGTGGAGATAGTGAGCCTAACCTATTTCTCATCTATCAGCACTCAGCAAGAGACTAGCACGAGGTTGGTGTTAACATGTGGTGTTTAGGTACTGACTGAACCTCTGCCCCACCTCCTTCCTGGTCCCCAGCCGGACACCACTGGAGCTGGCCCTTGCTCTTTGCACCTGGACATGGAGCTCAACTCCATCAGCAGTGAGGTGGAGGGCAGGCCACGGGAGCTCCCAGCCTCGCTCGGGCACAAGGAACTGCAGGTGGAACAAGATTTCCATGGTCTCCTGGAGCGGTGAGTGTCCTCAGGAGCAAGGCCAGCCCCCTCAGCCAGGGTGGCTGCATCGCGTGTGCCCCTGCTCAGCCGAGGTCATGTCTGTCTGTCTGTCTTCTGCAGTTATGTCAGTGTGAAGTCCCTTCCAGAAGCTCTGAGGGTGGAGGAGGACGAGGTGGAGCAGGGGCTTGTTCTGGAAGTTGATGGGCCAGCTCCAGGAAGAGGAGAGACCACCAAACTCATCCCGAGGCAGGTCCCGAGACAGGCTGAGAGAAGTCCCAGTGTGCGCCGCAAGTATGTCAGTGAGCTCCCTAACCATGTTCTGTGCCAACTCTGAAACACAGGCCGGGGGGAGGAAGAGGGTAAAAACTGTCGTCGTGTGCTAGAATAGAATGCTCATGATAGTTTAGAAATTGTTCTTGAGTCCTCAGCATCTCTCCAGAATATGGAACACACACGTTGGTAGCACTTGAAATAAACTTGGGTGATGGGGGCATGAGTTCTGGGAGGACAGAGGCAGCGTTACATGACAGTCTCCTTTTCAGTCTCAGTCCTAATTACATCCGGGAGAAAGCCTCTGTTAATGCTGTTACTACTTTAACACCACTCTGATTTTCCTTTCCTGCCCCTTCTTGCCTTCTGAGCTTTGTTTTGGGCAAATACTGCCCTTTTGGTGCTCCTGAAGCCTTGAATGAACAGAGAATGGAATTTTCCTGTAAACATTTTGAAGTCCTTTTGTATTTGTTTTTAAAATTACTTTCTATATGTAATATGAACTACTGATCTATTTATAATGAAATAAAGTCCTTGTAAGTAGATTGAAGAGTTTATGGAGGTAGCTGGAATAGGGAAGCCTGGGAAATGCTGTTTTTGCTCATTTGTTCTCACAGTGTTGCCCCCGTGGTATAATGGGTAGGTTTTCTTAGCATCCACTTAATAGAGTTAAGAAAAGTGAGGCTCAGAGAGGGAAAGTGCCTTGCCCAAAGTCACCCAGCTAGAAGCTGCAGAACTAGGTTGGGCACCTGGTGTGGAACTTTGTGCTTGTGCCCTGGACACTGTGGTTCCTGGGATGGACTGACCCCAGGGTCAGGGCTGCTTGGCTCATGCAAGGGCTCAGGATTGGCATGCTTCTCTTTCCCTGCAGGGAGACTGTGGAGCAGATGGTGTCTGTGAAGTCATCAGGCTTGCCGACCTCTGTGGCCAGAGACGGGTGCCTGCCAGGCATGGGCAAGGCCAAGGCAGCCCCTCTAGGCCCTGGCATACCACACCCGCCTCAAGGCACCAAGTCTGCAGCATCCCACCAGAGCAGCCTGACCAGCTTGGCAGGAAGTGGCATCTCTGAACACCTTCCACAGAAGTCTTTCCGCCAAGCTGGCGGGTCCCACATAGAGGTAAGCACCCACATGGGCAGGGGCACCTCAGGCTCAGAACCCCAGAGCCTGAGGTCTCTGGAACTTTCTGCCTTTGCTCATGACAGTCCTTTCTGGAATCCCTGCCGGTCACAGTCCCGCTCATCATCCAGGTACTCTGCTCTGTGCCACCTCTCGGCTGTGAGTCCCCACTCCCAAGCCCGTCCCTTTGCCAGATGCTCTTCTCGCCCTCTCAGTGCTTACAGCTATGGCCTGTGTTCCTCCGAGCCTGCCTATCACAGCTGGGCGGCCAGTTCTTGACTCTCTGCCATCAGAGCAGCGATTCTTAAACTGTTGCCAGGGTCGCAGGCGATTGTGACAATGTGACACATGCTGTGCATCCTGCCATGGAATAGCACATGATATGTATGCATATGTACACACACACATTCTGCCTGTCATTTCAAGGACCCTGCTGATCTCATGCTAAGGAGTCTCTGCACCTCTGGAGTCATTCGGTTTGTGGCCTTCACGCCCAGCATTGAAACCCCTGCATAGTGCAGAGGTTAGTGTACTCGGCCACAAATGAAAGGTTGGAGGTTCAAGTCCATCCAGAGGCACCTTGGAAGAAAGGGCTGGAAAATTATTTCTGAAAAATCAGCCTATGAAACACAGTTCTACTCTGACACATGTGGGGTGCTGAGGGTTGGACAGCAACTGTTGGGGCGCATGTCAGATGGATTCTCTTTTTCTAATACACTGGGCAAGGGCATTCCTGCTGCCGGACAAGGCCCTGGAATCCCAGGCCCAAGTCAGAAGCCATGGAAACAAGACTGTTTTCTTCTCTCATTATTCCTCATCTCAGGACATTCATGCAGTTGCCTCTCCAGGGTCTCTAGCCCCCACTCCTCAGGGGAGCAGGGCATTCTCAGTGTACACTCAAGACCTGGAGTCCTTCTGTCAGCCCCGCACTCATGTTGGACCTTGAGGGCCTGAGGACCCTCGCACTGGGACCCGGACAGCCTAACTATAGGATTCCTGCTCTGCCTTTGGAATGTGAGGCCTAGGCCAGCATTTGGAAAGGGCTTCCCAGTGTGCTTGGGGCACATTCCTCAGACTTAAAGAGATACTGCCTCTTTCAGGAGCCCTGGATGGCATCCCCGGAGACAGACAGTGGCTTTGTGGGCTCAGAAACCAGCAGAGTGTCACCTGTCACCCAGACCCCAGAGCACCGGCTCTCTCACATCAGGTATTTCGGGGACTTCCACCGTTATCCTGTCATTTCCACAGACCTGGATAGTCCGGGGACCTCAGGGCCTGTGCTGGCTATGAGCTTTCACAGACCTCTGCTCTGGGCCAGACCTCATTCCATCTTCCCAATGATGATTCATAGTCCCAGTTTATTGACAAGAGGGGAACAGAGACCCAGAGGGGGAAAGTGATTTGTCCAGCGTCACTCAGCCAAATAGTGACAGACCAGGAGAGAAGCATTCGCTGGATGAGTAGATGAGTCAATGGGTACATGAATACAAACTGTAGGGAGGGGTAGTGTGAGGCAAGCAGAAAGCAAGCATGAAGCACAAACATGTGAGGAGGAAGCTGGGCAGGCACCCAGGGAAGGGAGAGAGTGGCGGAGTCGCAGGTGAAGGGTGACAGGCTAGAGGCACCGTATAGAGTGGTGGCTCCCAAAGCCAGGTGCCTGCCTGAAAGTGCTACAAGTTCCTTTTCCCTTTATAGTCTCACACACAAAATTGAACTATTTTATGCGTAATGGTGGTGTGCCGTCTAGTTGGTTCCAACCCATGGTGGGTGAGGGGGGGGTCTGAGGCTGTTCATCTTTACAGGAGCAGAAAGCCTCATCTTTCTCACATGGAGCTACTGGTGGATTTGAACTGCTGACCTCATGGTTAGCAGCCCAATGCATAACCACTATGCTACAGGGCTCCTTGTATATATGGGTTAGCAAACTATGGCTATGTAGTTTGTAAACAGAGTCCTAGTGTGGTGCTGTGGGTTAATGTGTCAGATTGCAAAGTCATTTGAATCGCAAGGTTGGCAGTTCAAGCTCACCAGTCACTCCTCACAACCCTATACAGGCTTGGAATCAACTCAGCAGCACTTAACAACAACAGTTTCAAACAGACACATCCATCAAGGGTGGAATGTTTTCTTACCAGGGATGCAAGGTCCCAAAGGCTGGGGGCCGATTGGTTAATAGGTGGAAGGACTCAGAGATTGTGTGTGCTACCTCAATGTGTCTCTCCCTCACAACTCCCCAGCACCCCAGGCACATCAGCGCAGCAATTCACTGCACCTGTACCCCAGGATGGAGCCTCCCATGCTCAGGCCAGGGGTCCTACGGGCCCCAGAACAGCCGCTGAGCCCAGTACTCCCAGGAGCCGAGCCCACCGGCACCTCTCCAGCCCAGACAGTCCTGTCCAGCAGAGGGCACCCAGCTTTCGCCTGGGGCGCACATTCACAGCAGAGATGGGTGAGTGGACAAATCTGGATGGGCTAGAATCAGGGGTTAATAAGACCACACACACAGAAAACCTTGTACCTTTTAGGATATGAAGTATGCAGGTTAACTGTAGACAAATTTGAAATGACATCTATTAGCTGCCATCAAGTCAACCACTCATGGTAACCCCCATGTCTAATGGGATCACACTGTTATGATCCACAACGTGTTCGTTGCCTCATTTTTGGAAGTAGATTGCCAGACTTTTCTTTCCAATCTTAGTCTGGAAGCTCTACTGGGACCTGCTTAGCATCATAGTACCCTCCACTGACAGATGTAGGGGGGTTGGGGTGGAGATGCAGCAGGTGCATTGGCCAGCAATTGAATCCAGGTCTCTCAGGTGAACCACCACTGCCTCTGGAATTACAAATGTTGTTGTTGTCGATAAGTGCTGTTGAGTCAGCTCCAACTCATAACAACCCTGTATAAGGACTCCGAGTTTTGGCTGGTGTTTCAAATTGCCCTCGTGGTCCAGTGTTTAGCCTACAGTAGTACCACACCAGGAATTACAGTTAGGATGAACAAAAGAGAACAAAATGAAAAAATTCTGCCAAAACTATCAATGTGGACATTTTGGTGTAGAACATGTGAGTTGTTTTCTGTGCGGACATATGTGTGTGTTTATTTATACCTGTATATACAAGGGGACTTCAAAAACTTGGAAAAATTCCATTCTCTTCATTTTTCCATGAACGTCTTGCTTGCAGCCATTTTTTCATGAGCTTGTTGTCACTCCTTCATATATGTGAAAATGTCTGTGAACTTTTATTGAAATCAAACAAACATACAGAAAAGAACATAAATTGATAACTTTTCTTTTTTTTTTTATTAAATGTTTTTATTTTGGATTGAGTGAAAGTTTACAGGGCACATCATCAGCTTCACATTCAACCATTCATATAGCTTGTTTCATTACATTGATTATTATCCCCTCCATATATCATCAGTTAACAGTGTTTCTCTCTATCCTCTTTAGTTTTTTTGGGGGGGTGGGGGTGGGGGCGGGGAACTTGCCTTTTTGGAATTTACAGTCTCGGCTTTTAGGGAAGGTTTTTACATTTGTCTGTGGATATCCAGGGCTTATGTATGAGATTACTAACAAGCATTACTGAATGATCAGATGAGGGACAGTTTGCTATGTCTACTAGGTGGCTAAAGTCTGATCCTCAGAGCCTATGGTTTGGACGGTCAACAACGCTTGGGCCCACAGGGTCTTGACCTCCTGACCGGGTCTGCACGGTCTGCATCAGATTCCCCCTTATTTATTGTTTGTTTAAGATACGCTGCCTGTCTTAGGCGGTCAGTGCGAATTCCTCAGTCTTACCCGTCATCGAAACTCATTGCAGCATGGCAATGGCTCTGTCTTAGGTTGCCGAGGTTCCATGTGATCCTTACCCGTCTCTGGCCACACGTCCAGCATAAACAGCCACCATCCGAGGAAGGCAGGGAGGGAGGAGATCGGCTGGGGACCCCATACGCAAGATGTTGCCAGCCCACCACCTGCTCTAAGGTGACCAAGCAGGATCACTATGCTGAGGTTCAATCAACTTCATAGGGGATCTTACTCTCTAGCAGGGGTAGCAAATTAGTAGCCACTCATTGCTCACTTTGAGAATTACTTATATCAGAAATTTGAGCATGTAGCTGATGAATATCCACAGACAAGTGGATATTATTCCACAACCTCCTAAAATGCTGTTGAATTAAGTTCCAATCAAGTTCTGGATTACTGAAAGATAACACAAATCTACTTATACCGTGAGTAACCTTAGCTGGGAGTGTAATCTGGATATATTGAGTCTTATTTCCCTTAAGCGATCTTCCTTTCTCTAAAGCATTTAGTCTGTTTTGTAAACCTTTATCTATTTACTCTTGGATCGTATGATTGATAACTTTTCATAAAGTAAATACATCAGACCAAAAGTGGGGTTCTGGGAAACCCAGAACCCATTCCAAGCCCCTTGTACTCACTCCCACGCTCCTAAAGGCATTCCATATTCTGACTAGTAACAGCACAGATTAGCTTTGCATATAAGATCAGTTAAAAAAAAATTCTTTTAAATTAAATCTTTCATTTTGAAACAATTGTGGATCTACATGCAATTATAAGAAGTACTTTACAGGGATTCCATGTGTCCTCCACCCAGTTCTCTCAATGATAACATCTTACAAAACTACAGAACAATATTATAAACAAGATATTGATATTGGGACAGTCAAAACACCAAACATTTTCATCACCACAAGGATCCCTAAAGCCACACCCACTCCCTTCCCTCTCCTGCCCCCTCTCATTAAGGCCGAACCAAAAAGCCCAGCAACCCACTGCCTTGAATCAGTCCCAACTCATAGCAAAGCTCAAGGGCACCCGCGGTGGGGTGATCAACTCTTTGCAGAGGGGACAGTCTTGAAGACTTGGATCTAAAGCCGTAATGGTGATGGGTCAGAGTATTCTAGTTAGAAGTGACTCTGTGAGCCTAGTTTAGCACCCAAAGCTCCCAATGGGTCACTCACCTTATCGGGAACTTCATTCATGGCCTCAGCAGGGCATGGTCTCTGTGTCCTGTCGTTCTGCCTGCAAAAGCGTGACCTTCAGGGTCCCCTCTGTTGGAATCACACTACGGATTCTCCTTGTCTCCCTGACAGTCCCTTCCTCGGAGTTCAAGGGGCGAAAACTGATTTCTGAGAAGCTCCTCCCAAGCAGAGCAGTCAGCCCACACCCCACCTCGGCCCCCACAGCTGCCGCTCTGACACACGGGCCGACAGAGACCAACTCCAGCCTCCTCCTCACCAGGACAGGACGAGAGTAAGTTGGACTGCAATGCACTGTCTAGACGGGGGTGATGCATTTGGGAAGAGACATTTAGGCAGTTGGGCCCAAATGTTGCTTAATTTTAGGGATTTTCAGGGAAACAGAAGAGTGTAGAATGATTCCGCTTTCTGACTGGTTAGCCAGTTGGATGTTGATGACATGTAAAGAGATGAAGAACCCAGGAACGGGGGACAAGTTTGCATGGGACAAGGCATTTTAAATGCCAGGTGGTACTAGTGGTCTTCCAAGCCCCAGCTTTCATACCAAAAAAAATCCACTGCCATCGAGTCAATTCCGACTCGTGGCAACCCTAAAGGACAGAGCTAAACCGCTCCTTAGGGTTTCTGAGACTGAATCTTTATAGGAGTAGATAGCCTCATCTCTCTCCCATGGAGTGTCTTCTGGGTTTGAACCGCTGATCTTGAGGTTAGTTGCCCAAAGACCTGTGCCACAGGTCTCACAAACCCTCCTTGAACAGCCTTCACCTAGAGAGAGAGCCAGAGCTGTCTCTGGTCCTGTATGTAGCACGGAAGCTCAGCTCTGCCTTCCAGGGGTTAACTAGCAATGGGAGCTCGTTCTCTGCCCCTCCCTCTCACGGTTTACCTTGGAAACCCCAACAACGTCTCCCTGGAGATTGGAGGCACAGCATGCTGGGGCAAAGCCTGAGCGAGGTCTCCCTGCTTATGGAACATTCATCTGAGAACTGATGTTTGGAAGTGGCACCAGGAGACACTCTGCCTTGAATCCAGGGACCACCAGGCAAGAGCTAACCCTGAGGGGAGCCCCCCAACCCGGAGCTGGCCAAGGAATAGATACAGAGCCTATACCAATCCAAAAGACAGCTAAGCTGAGCTCAGCCTCTAACTTCCAGAATATAGGGTGCAGTATGTGTGTATGTGTGTGTATAGGGGGCTTTGGTTGGGGATGCCTGGACACAGTGCCAGCAATGCCCACACAATGAAGCTCTAGAGACTTGGGGACTGAAGGCAGAGACGCCAAGTAAGAGGTTGAGCTGGAATGACTTCAGCCTTGCAGGTAGGGCCCTGCATTTCCTGGTCCACTCCGTTCAGCCCTCCTGGTCCCCTAGGTGATGGGAAGCCCCCGTGTTTCCTCATCCATTTATCACTTTTTATTCTGCTCCCTCTTGATGCCTGGCACCCATCTTAGTGTAGCTTTTCCATGAGATCTTAAGGGGTCCAAGGGCCGCAGAATGGGCTGGGGAGACCTGGATACAAGCCTCTTCTACCAGCAGTGGAGAAACAGGCTTGAGCAACCTTAGGGAGTGTTTTGGGGGAAGAGGCTGAGCAAAGACAGGAAGGAGCAAGGCCTGGAGGGTTGGCTCGGATTTCTGCAGGAAGAGGAAGAGGAAGGAGGGCAGCCCAGGGGCCGAGGCAGGTTCAGACTTTAAAATGGAACTGTAGGCTCTTTCATCTACACCGTCGTCTCTGTCCTGAGCACTTGTCACTGGTGTATGGTCTCAGTGACTCGGAGATGCTGCATGTTAGGACGTGTAACCGAAAACTTAGAGGAATATCAAGGGGTGTGGCCAGAAAACGGATGTGCAAGAAGTTTTGGAATTATTTGACAGCAGAGATGGAGCCTTGCCTGCCCCAGAGCGGCAGAGGCTGCAGCTGGACCCAGGCTGCAACCTTGCTCACTGTATATCTGTTCTTTGTGTCTGTCTCCCTGCCACGCCAGCCAGGCCATCCGCGAGCTACAAGAGGAGGTGTCTCTTCTCCGCCTGCGGCTAGAGGACAGCCTGCACCGGCCACCCCAGGGCAGCCCCGCTCACTCAGCCTCCACCTCTGTCTCTGCCTCCACTTCCAACCGTCCCACCCGGGCCCGGGACCGGCCAGCTGATTCCTCAGTCACCTGGGGCTTCCACTCTGGCAGGTGATGATGATCTGGGAACTCCTGTCCTGGTACCTTTCTGGCAGCCACAGCAGACAGACTTGGCCCGCTTGTGACCCTCCCCAGACAGGTGGACTCGAACACTGCCATGCCACCCTATCTGTCACTCATTCATTCACTCATTCATTCAGTCTTGCCTATGTATTTCTATTGTGTAATATTTGATGCATAAAAATAAATATAAACACATGTATTCATAATAAAATACAGTACAATGAATATCCCTGAACCTCCTACCATCAAACTGAAGAGCTAGAACAAACGTCTTTGGGAAGCCGATCCTTGTACCCTCTCACTGAATAGTCCATTCATTGATCATTATCAAGGTCATTACCTTTTTGAGGTCTTGTCTCTGAGCAGGAACCACAGGATGTTTTATAGACATTGTCTCATTAATTCTGTCAGCAACCTCTAAAGTTATCATTATTATTATCCCTAGTTTGTAAATGAGGAAACTGAGGATCCAAGAGGCTCCCAGCCATTTTCTGTGACCCTCACCTCAGAGTCTTTGGACTTGACTTGGTGCTCGCCTCCTATCACATTACGAGTGTTTCCAGATTGATTTTCTGCAAAGTCTACATAAGACTAGGATACAGAGTGATGTTGTTTTTCTCTCCCTGTTCTAGTAAATCCACAGAGAGGTTGTCTGCGGAGCCTGGAGGTGCAGAGCAAGCCGTCCTCACAGGGAGGCGACGGGCCAGGTCCTCCTCGGTGCCTCGGGAGGTGCCCCAGCTGTCCCTGAGTAAGTGACCGCCTACCAGGGCTGACTGCCGAAGACCAAAGTCTGGGCATGATGGCTGAGAGGAACGTGGCTCTGTGGAGGAAAATTGAAGACGGTTTTCTATGTGTTTGTTCTAATCATAGCCATCCATGCTGCGCACCTCAGTGTGCTAGCTATACCGTCTCTCTTAAGCCCCCTGCAAGCGGGGGTCGTATCACCCACATGATGCTGAAGCTCAGAATGGGTGCCTGAAGCCCTGCAGTGGGTTCCCAGGAGCCTGCCTGGCTTGAGTCAGTGGCCAGGGCTCATCTCCAGCTCTACCCCTTCTTGGCTGGGTGACCTTGGCCTGGCTGTTTACCTGCTCTGAGCAGTTGCAGGTCCTGCCAACAGTTCCAGGAGTGTTTGCTGTGAATGAACATGATACAGCGCTCAGCTCAAAACCAGTGTTCCCTGTGGGTCAGCTAAGGGGTAGATCTGGGACTCAAGCCTAGGTGCCTGCCCCAGAGCCTCTCTGTGCTGTGTGGCCCCCATACCCTGCCCTCTCTGATCCCCTCTTTCCCTCACAGCCTCTGAATCTGAGCCAGCCTCCCCCCGCATCCCTTCTGAGAAGAGTAGGGCCACCAAGGACAGTCCACAGGCAGCTCGGGACAGAATAAGAGGAGGGGTCACCTTCCGGGGCCATTACACAGGTAAGCCCAGAGGGAAGGTTAGGGTGGGTGCCAGCCCTGGGATGGGCTCTTCTGTTATAGGCAACCTTTTCCATTTTCCCAGTGGGGCATACAGTGAGCCTCAATTTTTTTAAACATTCTGTGATTTGAAAAACACCTGTGAATCTCGGTATGTTTGTTCATTCCCTCCACGAACAGTCCCAGACACTTATTCCTCCCCAGGCCCATGTGCCATTTTGGGGGAGCTGGAGAGCACACCTCACAGATAGAGCCCCACTCAGTTATTCCAACAAGCCTAGGAAATAGGATCTGTGATCACCCCCATTTTACAGCCACTTAGAATACTGGTGAAAATGCCAAGGGTGTATGTACGCCACTGACTCCAAGCCTGAGCTTTTCAATCAGATCAGCACGTGCGGGTCTGAGGGAGCAGGGTCACTATCCATAGCGTAGCATTTCTTCCTGGCTCCTTCACATTCGGACCCAGGGCTAAGCAGCTGTTGCTTAACTAAAGTCTGAGAGGAATGTGTGTGTACACATATGTGTGCATAGATGACATAAGAGTGTATGTGTACCAGACTAATAATTCCATACAGAGGAAGACAGAGAGTGTTATGGCAAAATCCTGCCCATCATCCGATGGTGACTGTTCAGTTTCTTTTCCCAGGCCAGGAGTACCATGTCCTATCCCCCAAGACAGTCCAGAAAAGCAGTGACACAGTCTCCTGTCCCCACTGCTGGCCCATTAGGAACCAGGACCAAGGTAAGGAAGTGACCAGGCAGCCAAGGCTGCAGAGTTATGGTCTCGGGGAGGGTGCCGCTGGACCAGTCACAGGCGCGGACGACGGACTGGGATGCATTTCTGAGCATCTTCATCCTGTTGCTCCAGGTGTTGCTGCCTGAACCCACCCTCCTTGACCTTGACATGGGGAGACCGTGGACGTGACTTAGGGAGTTCATGAAGGGTCTGGATAAGGAGGTACCAGGCAGCAGGAGGCCTGGCAACAGTAATTACGTCTCCTCTCATTCCCTTTCCCCCTACTGCTCACCCCTTTCCCTCCAAATCCAGTAGGGGAAAGCAGTGGCCTGAGAATCTGGACATCCAAGTTTTCATCCCATTTCAGACTTGCTGTGTAATCTTAGACAAGTACTTAAACTTCTCTCATCTCAGTTGCCACATACTTAATGAAAGAGATGATCTCTTAGACACTTTCCAGCAATGATGATGGGGCTTCCATTTATTAAGCACTTACTGTGTTCTGGGAACCATGATAAAGATATTACATGCATTAACCCTCACAATGCTAAGAAGTGGGTCCTATTATTGCACCCATTTTATGTGTAAGAACCCTGAGGCTCTGAGAGGTTAAGTAATTTGCCAAAGGTACACAGCATACAAGTGGCAGAGCTAGATTTCGAACCCAGGTCTTTGTAACTCCAGAGTTACAGCTCTTTACCTGCCACTCTGCCTTCTAACAGGCCTCCCCACTCATTTACTCGGTTATTTATTTATTCATTATTTTCAAATTCAACAAACATTCTATATGTGCACATAATGGGATCCAGGCCCGGTCCCAGTGAATTGGCATCTAAGCAGACAATGACAAAACTATGGTCAGAACTGGAATGGGGGTCCACAGGGCTGGATGGGTGGGTGGGGAGACTTCCTAGAGGGAGTGCTGAGGCCTGAAGGAGAAGCAGACAAGCCCTGGAATCACCCAGACAAGGTGTTGGGGATTTGGTTGGTGAGAGAACAACAGTGCCCACCTGCTCCTTCCTGGTTCTCAGGCCATTCTGTGGCACGCCCACGTGGAGAACAGGTCTGTTTCACTGTGGCAGGATGGCAGCAGGTACAGGGAGGGGTCTGTCATTGGGAGAGCACGGGCTTGGGATCTGCCACTTCCCAGCTCTGAGACCTTGGCAAACTACTCATCCTCTTGGGGCCTCAGTTTCCTCATCTGTAAAATAGGGGCGGATGATGGTAGTTAGTTAGCCTGTTGCCTGCTGGATTGGATAAAATAATGCATGCGTGAAAGACCTTAGTGTCAGTGTTGCTGATTGACGGTCAGTGTTGCTGATTGCCCAGGTGGAGGCGCTGTCTCCCCGCAGTGGCCCCTGAGGAGAGTTCAGTGCTGGGCTCCAGGGCCTGGCTGTGTAGACACGGTCTCCTCCTAACACCTCTTTCTCCTTCTCAGGCACTGCTGCCACTAGGGACACATTGGGACCATCTCCAACCGATTCCCCCCGGTGTCCTGTGTGTCACCGAGTTGTGCTCCCTGCAGAGGGACATGGCCAAGACACCACCACCTCTGGTAGGAATCGATCTAAGTCTCTTCTCTCAGCCTGATACTCTAGACCAGGGTCTGGGGATCTGGGCAGATTCCCTGGGGTAGCTACTGTCCCAGTTTGGGACCAGCGTTGGCAAACCCAGAACCTAGCTCTGGCAGGAGAGGGTGGAGCACAGTCCCAGTTCTCTGCTGGATCTTCCCAAGTGGCCACACTGTATCTCTGTGCTGTCCCACCCTGACAGGAGCAGAAAAGACCACCCCAAGGAAGAACACACCTTCCAATTCCAGCCCCAAGCGGAGGAGCAAGCCAGCGGGGTCACCACTGTACTCAGCCCCCGGGCTGTGGTATCTGGCTGCAGCACCGACAACACCAGCCCCTCCAGCCTTTGCCTGTGTCTCCTCAGTGCCTATCCTGCAGTACCCACCAGCCACTGTGTAAGAGCCTTTTCTTCTCTTTGGGTTTGGCAATCAGACCCGAATGAGGGCTGCTGAGAACCCAAGCACTCATGTACTCCTGGGCCCCATCACAAATGGACCATGTGCAGGACACTCATGTGGTCCCTCAGCAAATGAGTATTCGCTGCATACCAGGGAAAGTGCTTGGCTAGGGGACACAGTAGGTACAGAGACTCTCAGAGAGCCTTGCAGCACCACACCAGACTTGTTTATCTAGGGGAATTGGGGCTGTTGCCCTGCAGTTACTCCTGCTGCCTAGCAGCAGAACTCGGCCACCGGGTTCAGTGTGCTACTGAGAAAGGTGAGTGGACCTGCACTGCCACCTGCTGGTCAGCCTCTGTATCAGCTCCTACACCCGAGACTTTCTAGCCTGGGATAGTTTTCTTGCAGCTTCTGCCCTGGGAGAGTTTTTTAGATAACTTTCAGGCCAAACTGTCTTCAAAGTTAAAAAAAAAGGTGGGTGCATGTTGGAACCTCAGAACTGCACCAGATAAGTCTCCTAGAAGGGAATGTGGGTTGTGGGTTATAATGAAATGGATTCAAGAAGCCTGTTTGTTGGATTTATCAACTTCATCTATCAGCTAGCTGTCACTACTTGTTCAGAAATGCTTAACGTGAATCTGGGTATGAATCTCAGCTCTGCCCCTTCCCAGATCTCTGGGCTTGGGCCTCAGCAGTTGGCACCTACAGCACATCTTCCGTGCCCAGGCAGTGTACAGAGACTTTTATCTGAATTTCCCCATTTGATCTACCCTATGAGGAACACAGGAGTCCTGGGCTGGCACTGTGGGTTAATGAGCAGAACTGCAAGGTCGGTGGGTCAAGCTCACTAGCCACTCTTCAGAAACCCTATACAGGGTTGCTATGGGTCAGAATCTACTCGACAGTATTTAACAACACCACAGCAACAATAAGGAACTCAGGTGGTGCCACAGCTAGCCAAAAGTTGATGGTCCAACCCCCCCACCCCCCAGCAACTCCACGGAAGAAAAACCTGGTGATCTGCTCCCCTAAGGATTACAGCTAAGAGAACCCTATGGGACAGTTCTCTGTCACATGGCATCGCTACGGGTTGGAATTAACTCTGTGGCACCCAATAACAACAGGAGATAGCTAAATATGGCCATTTTAGTTGAGAAACAGAGCCCTTGAAAGGATGTTCAGAGTCCCATGGCAGCCAAGGGCACTGGGCTTCGGGAACAATTAATTATATTAGGGTGGTCTCCTTCAGAAAAAACTATTGGAAAGCCTGCAGAGCCCAGTTCTACTCTCACACACATGGGTCACCATGGGTCAGAATTCACTTGAGAGCAACTAGTTTTAAAACTAACAATATTGAGCAGTTTTCATGTGTTTATTGTTCATTTGTTTATCTTTTTTGGAGAAATGTCCATTCGGATCCTATCGAAGCCCCTTTTACACACTATACGTAATGTGAGTTAGGAAGTAGAGGCTCAGAGAGAAAACCAGAGTTTGCTGAGCCTCTACAGTGTGCCAGGCAAGGTTCCTGCCCGCTTTTATTTAGGTGAATGCTCTTTATCTTCCCCTTTCTTTATTCCAAGGAGTCCTGATGTTTCAGTGGGTTAAATATTAGACAGCTAACCTCAAAGTCAAGGAGCTCTGATAGCGTAGTGGTTACGACTCGGGCAGTTCGAAACTACCAGCCGTTCCTCAGGAGAAAGAAGAGGCTTTCTGCTCCCATAAAGATTTGCAGCTTCAGAAACCCTGTGCAGGGTCACTATGAGTCAGAACCAACTCCACAGTACTTAACAACAACAACCTCAAACTCGGCAGTTTGAGCCCATGAACCCACAGAAGAAAAGATGAGGCTATATCTACTTCCATAAAAATTTAAAACCCTATGGAGCATAGCCGATAGAGTCACGATGAATGGATTTGGTTTGGGAGTTTCCCTTTATTTCACAATACACAGACCACACCCCAGCTTAGCCTTCTGCTGATTTCTTTGACCCCCAAACTTACTGCCCTGGGTGAATGTAGCTGCCACTTTTGGGGAGACCTGTGCTCATCTCATGAGCTCTTCAGCCCATCTCCCCAGCACTCTAAAACAGCCCCCACACTCCCACCGGGCTGGGCTAGGGGAGCACGCCCTTCCCCTCATCCCTCTCACATTCACAGGACCCTCATTCTACATTTCCCCAGTACTCGGTGCTTGTCAAAGGGGGCTCACAGGCACTGTCTTTCCAATAAGGGTAGTGTTGCTGCAGAGCCAGGATGATCCTGGTGCCCTGAGACCCTGGCTTTCAGACTAGAAGCTCCTAGAACGGAGAGTCCATATTGTTCATTTACCATTGCAACCCCAGGGCGGGATTCCCGGTCTGTAAGTCTTGTTTGTTACCTTGTCAGGGCGCTACCTGTTCTCCAGCACCTGCTCTGGGTCAGTCCCTCTCACTGATTGTCCCCCTTCATCTTTCCAGAGTCCCCGGCCTAGGTGCTAATTAGTCCCACTTCTGTTTCTAGCGGCCATCAAGGTGACTCTAGCTCCTGGCAACCCTACACACAGCAGCAGGAGACGTTGTCCTGTGCCATCCCAGTGATTAGTTGTGAATAGACCATTGTGACCCACGGAGTTTTAATTGGCTGATTTTCAAAAGTAGGTTGCCAGGCCTTTCTTCCTCTTGTGCCTCAATCTGGAAACTCCACTGAAATCTGTTTATTAGCACACAAGCGTTCACTGAAAATGTGTGGTGTCTGCTCCTGAGGTACACTGGCTGAGATTTCAACCTGGGCCTCCCTCGTAGGAGTTGAGAATTCTGCCATTGAAATACCACTGCCTTATAACCCCCTCTCAGAAATGAAGAAACCAAGACACAGAGAGTGGCCCCGCTGGGGTTTAGAAGTAGGTTTATTCCAAACACAGTGCTCCTCAGCGCTACCCCAGCTCTCTCTGAGACTAATGAGTGCACTTACTTCTCTCCTCAGGTACTATGTGTCCCCAGGACCTACCTCAGCCCAAACAGCCTCAGAGTGGCCCCCTGCAGCCCCCTCCCGTCCGGCCTCCAGGCACCGGCACTCCATCCAGCTAGATCTGGCCGGCCTAGAGGAGCTCAACAAAGCTCTGAGCCGTGCTGTCCAGGCCGCCAAGAGTGTCCACATCACCACCAAGCAGATGAGCCGCTCCCTGTCTGCCGACCTGCGCCAGGCCCGCGGCCTGCGGGGCTCCTGCCTCTTCTGATGTCACTTGAGGTGCACAGATGGGTGGACAGGTGGGGCAGAAAGCCCACCGATGCCACAGTCGCCTGGCAGGCTCCTGTAGACCCCTCACCAGAGTGTCTCCCACCAGCACAGACCCAGCTGTTCAGTGTTGGGGTTTTCAAATGGAGGGGCATCTACTTGGCCATCAGGACAGGCAACATCCTGGGGGCACCAGCAAGGCAACCTCCTGACCAGATGGAATCAATCTCTGGGAGTCTCCTCATCTTGTACTTGCCCACCCTGACTAATAATATGTATTTTATATACAAATGGACATTATTTTTTTAACTGAGGAATTTTCCTCATCCGGGATTCTCGTGTGGAGGCCATATAAGAAGGGACAGGGCTCTCTGGTCTCTGGCACAAAGCTGTCTTTCCAGAATCAGTGTCTCTGAGAAGGACAGGCTGGAGACCTTTGCTCCTAGGGACCCTTGATCCATGAGCTTTTGGGGGGACCATTGAGTATGTCAGGATGAGAGGCCTTCTGGCATGGAGACAACCTGAGAAGTGTGTCCACCACATCCCTCCTGGTACCGAGACACGTGGTTCCTCTGAGACCCTCACCTCAAGGCCCTCAGCTCCCTCTGGGACATTTGGCTAGTGACCAGCTACCAGCAGGCCCTGGTTTGGGGCTCAGACTGTGGTATTTCCCGCTCCTCACCCCGCAGCAGTACTTACCTCAGCATTTCTGGAATGTGTGTGCATAAATGATGTTTGTATATTTGAGGCATTTAAAAATCTATTTTCGTTATAAGGACAAATGAAGGAGAATAAATATTGATCTCAAAATAGAAAGAAAGCTCCCCAAACTTCCTGCGTTGCTGGTCTGTATCGTGACTGTGTTTCTAAAGTAAGGTGTGGGGGATGGAAGAGCGGGTACCTGCTGCAGGGGGAAATGTTGGGTGAACATTTTCTAAGTCTGCCTGCCTCCTGCTCGTGGTTTCTGTTTCTCATCACTTCCTGTGTTGGAAACGTAACTATTGAACTGAAGGGGCCACAGATGTTAGAAGACACATTACCCATTGTCAGTAAAACCACAGACCTGTGCTCTCAGTGCTTCATTTGTTCACCATCAATAGCAGTAGCTGCATTTATCCAGCACCTACGGAGCCAAGCACTTGGCATGTCATGCTCCATGTCGTCTGCACATCAGCCTTGGAGGTTCCCACCCTGCCCCCATTTTTCTGATGAGATTGAGGTTCCCTGGGGCCACCTGCCCAAAGTGGCTCATGAAAAAGCCAGGCTTTGAACCCATGTTTATGTGACTCCAAAAATCTATATTCTTTACTATTTTCTTTTTCTTCCTATACCTCAATTCGTATGTTTTTCTCTCTGACTCCTATTTCTAATTCACTTTTTAAATTTGATCATGCCTGCCTCTCATCTCACTCATTTCTCCCCTGCCCCCCAGGATTCTTTCTATTTTATTTTCCAGCAGATTCTCCTCAGTCGAGTTGAAAATGGTGTCTTACTGGAGGTAACAGTGAAATGGGAAGATATCTTCTGGGCCCTGCACCTCTGGGTCCAGACCCTTTGGGTTCCAAGAGGCTGTTCTATCTACTAATGTTCTAAGGACATCAGGATAGGTGGAAGTCTCAGTGTTCCCGGCACAGCAGTGCCTTCGTCTGGTTAGTGAAGGATGTTGGACAATTGGGCACATTGGAGCTTGGTTCTTAGGAGGTGCTGGTATGTGAGGGCTCTAGCCTGGGGTGTATGGTTCTGTCACTGTTGATGGTTTAGGCAGCTACATGTACAGAATTGTTCCACAAAATTCAGCCCAACTTTTCTTCCCTCTGACAGAAGAGACTATGAGCTCCTCTGGTCTGGAAAAAAGCTGGCCCTTCCTCATTGGGCTCCTAGCTTCAGGCTTGGCTCTGTTTAGGCCACAAAGTAGGCAGAACTTGGCATGGCCTATCTCAAGGGAAGGGCTCCAAACATGTTTTTAAGATGTCATCTGGTTCCTAGGGAGTCACCCAGACCCCCAACTAGGCCTCAAGCCCTCCCCAGCCCTGGCCCAGGCCACAACTCCTTGCCAGGAGGTTCAGGGCAGGCGCCACAAGGTTCTCCCTACCTTTATAGTCCAGCCCCTTCTAACCTGCCTCCCCAGGTAGCCAGAGTGGTCTGCCTCAAATAAGGTCCTTCCTGATTGTGTCCCATGCCTGGATCCCCACTGCCCTTGATCCACTTCACTGCCCTCAGCCTCAATCGTGTCTTCTCAGGTCCTTGACTGGCAGGGGGAACAGTAGGTTTACCTAGCTTCTACTACGTCAGATGCCTCTGCCAGGAAGGCTTACTGGAGCTGGGCTCCCTTGGAACCTGGTGCATCTCCTCTTCCTCCATGGCACGTGTGCTTGGTCTTACCCAGGAACTCTTCCCACCCAGAGCTTGACTCAGGGCAGCTTCCACATAAGTGAATGAACGACAGAAAAAACAACAGACTACTGACCAGGTTGTACCACAAATATGGAAGCTTTGTTGAAGGCTGGTGGGAGGATGAGGATGGGTCCCTAAAGTCCTAAGCCAAGACTGGGTCCACTGAGGACCCCTTTTTCCTCTTCTTTATCGCTTCCTCATGCTGCTTCTCCAGTGGTCCACACAGATCCTAGAAGACAGTGGGGAGAAAGAAGTTATGATAAAGGGAGGCTTTCTGGGGGGATGGCGTAAATTCTGGACTCTGGAACATGTCTTACTAGGACTCCCAACTCTGACTCTGCCAATTCCTGTCCTGGTGACCTTGGGAAAGTTACTTTCTCTCTCTGAGCCCCAGCTTATTTATCTCCATAGTGGAGACTCAAACCCTTAAGAACAGCTGGCATTTTCTGAGCACTTATGACCAGCCAGACCCTATGCTCTGTCTTCTAGATTCTTCACAACCATTGCTCTTTATAGAAACCAAGGCTAAGAGCTGCCACGTGACCTGACAGAGGTCACCCCTTAGCCAAGGAAGGTAAGCTGTTGACCAGGTGGTCTGCCTTGGTGCCTGAGCTCCTAGTCCTTTCCCAGAGTCCCTGTGGGGGCATGACCTCAGGTGGTAAACTGATGAGACATTTTAAACTCTATAATTATGAACATATTCCATGTATGAGGAGGCTTTAGAAAATCCATGGAAAGATGGACTTAAAAGAGAATGGAATTCCTCTACGAACTTTTTGAAGCCACCATGTATGTCAGCAAAGTGACAGCAGCTCATCGATGTTGTGACTTCACAGAGGAAGAGACCAAACAACGATTGCCACTTACCACAGACTTAGAGAAAACCGTGCCAACGGTAATGATACAGGCAAGTCTCAGGCAAAGCGGGGACGGTGGCCCGGACTTGAGCTCTCCCTGCCCCAATCCCGCTGGCACACGAGTGTGAAACGGGAGCAGGTGGCAGTAGAAACCAGACAGATAGCAACCTCACGTGTGCAGAGTAGAACTGCTTTCTAGACTTTGTGAGGCCTTTTGAGAACAGATGACCAGGCCTGTTGTCTGAGATGCCTCTGGGTGGGATTGAACCACTAACCTTTCAACTAGTAGTCAACACACAACCATGCGCCATGTGTGCTACCCAGGGACCCCAGTGTGGGTCTGCTCCCCAATTCCCACAGCCATGCCTTTGCCATGCTCTTCCCCTCCTATTAGCCTCTCAGCACCTCCCACCTGCTCTAGGAGTTTCCCCCTCTCCAATACTCCCTGATTTCAGTGGCGGTGCCTCCTGGCTCTCATTTACCAACATGGGCCCATGTGAGGTCAATCAGTGGGAGCTTGTAAGTAGAATGGCCTGCTTTGCGGCCACCTTGGCTGATGGCCTGCCCTCTCTAGGCCTTCAGGATTGCCCGAAGTGGGGTCAGCTCTTGTGTTTACCTTTTTCCCATCAGAGTATAGGATTTCTGTCTCCTGCAGGTCCATGCATTTGAGGGCATCATAGAACTCTCTTAGCTGTTCCTCAGACACCTCCGGCTTGTTAGCTGCAGTGTGGAGCAGGAGACTGGGTGAGGATGTGGGGGGACTCAGGTGGAACCCCAGGCAGAGCTGCAGTTCAGGGAACCCAGTCCTAGGGGTGGGTGAGTCTGGGGCGGGGCTGGGATGGGTTGGAGTTGAGGGTGCCTACCATAGAAGACCAGCCCCCGGTTCAATTCGTCTTCTGGGAAGAAGGAAAACATGTAGGTCTTGGGGTCCTTGGTGAGCAGCAGGTGGGCAAAATGTTCTATGCCCCATTCTGGAGGAGAAAACAGTCAATGGGGTGAGACCATGAGGAACGCACGATTTTACAAAATAGGAAACAGATGTGCTAATTTGTGAATACCCAGGGTTCACCTGAGCCAGCATGTCCCCAGCTCCTACCTCATACAGGGTGCTGTGCTGACAACTCTACATACATACAGGACACACATACCTACACCACACACAGAGAACACACGACATACATGGAGCACACATGGAACATATATGTGCAGCATACCCAATACACATGAACATGGAATCATAGGAGCCCATATAGACTGTATATATTCTCCCCATTTTACAGATGAAGGAAATGAGGTCTCAAGAGGAGCCTCAGTGTTGTAAGTGGCATTGGTTCAGTTTCATCAGCATTTGTGCCCCTACTGTGTGCATCTTGGTAGTGATGAGTGAAGTCACATGGGCTGTCCCTTCACTTCCAGAGCACTGTAACCAGTAGTTAAGAGAGAGGCAGGTCTGGAGCCAACCTTGGGTTTGAATCCTAGTTCTAATCAAAGGGAACTGACGACATCTCAGCGACTCACAGTTTGTTCTTCTGTAAACCGGGCTTCGGGTCATTTGTGGGTATTCCATGAGTTAACTCACATCAAGCACTTTCCCAGTGGCTGGCACTTAGCAAGACCTCACGACCTTAGCAGCTATTACTGCGATTGTCACTGTGTGCAGGCACTGGAGCCATGGAGGTATCAGACTCTGCTTCCGGTGACCTCTGGCCCAAAGCCTCCCGGGTCCTCAGCCCCAGTCCTCCCTTCCCCACGCGATAGTCTCCAGTCTCAGGACCAGTCCTTACCATATCTGGAGAGGGTCCCGTTCTCCCGATGGACCTTCAAGTAGCTAGAGTTATAGATGCACTGGCCCCGGCTAAAGTCAGACACGAGGTGGGAGAAAGGAATCAGAGGCCAGGAGACGGACAACTGCCCAGCAGCCTTGAGGGGCAAGAGGTGTTTGGTAACAGGAGTCAGCCCTCCCTCCCACCCTAAGAATGGAGGCAGGACCAGGAGGGACTTGCTCATGGTCTTCTGGCTGCAGGGAGTGAAAGCCAGGAGTGGGTGCCTGGGGTGGGGAGGGCGGAGAGGGCAGGGGCTGGCAAGTGGGGTTCTCACATGGTCTGGTACTCCTTGATCAATATCACATCCTCTGTCATGTTGGGGGTAACATGAAAGAAGGTCGCCTGGATCTCTCTCGATGATTCCTTGTATTGGGGATTACGTAAGGCCGAGGCGATGTAAAACCATTTGCCTGATATCTGGGGAGAAGCCAGGAGCTGGTGATGGGGGTCTTGGGGCTGAAAGGAGACAGCTAATCTCTCTTGTTCCGTTTTGCATATGGGAAGATAAAGCTCACCTTACAAATCAGGCAACCCCATAGGCAATCCCAACCCACCCATGCCACATGCCTACACAAAATCACCCCTATTGAGATGGAAGGCAGCTTACAGCTGGGCTGGTCAGAGCTTCACCCCCTGGCACCCAGAGAGGAAAGGACAGAGCCAGGAGCAGAGGGCAAGCATTCAGCAGTAGGGCAAGGGGATCCCTGGCACTCACCCGCTCCAGGGTGTCATTGGTGATAGGCGCAGCCTTCAGATTGGCACATGCTATGTCCTGGGCGTCCAGCAGAGGAAGGAGGCTCAGGACTGCTAGGGCCCAGGGCAGCACCATAATGAGAGAGGAGGCACCTAGAGCCAACCAGACTGAGAGCTCACGGACTTTTATAATGAGCTGTAACAGGGCTGTGACAACCTGGTGAGCAATTGCGAAATGCCTTGTACAAAATCTTCCTTCCATCCCCCACACTCAGCTGCAGGCAACTCCTCCAGGCCCAAGTCTAACGTGGGTCCCTGAGGTTGAAGGGTTACATAGGTCTGAGGATCTGGCTGATTCAAGGCCTGACTGAGGAAGCATGGGATGGAAGTGGTGCTAGTATGCATGAATTCTTAGGTTTCAATGGAAGGTCACCCACTTGGCAACCTCATGTTTCCATCCAAGTCCTGTACCTCTGAGCACCAAACCGTGCTGATGGTGCCTTAGAGAATTCCTATCTGGCATGGGGATGGGAGTAGGGTGGGGGACACTGATTCAAGTCCAGCTGAACATGGTCACAACTGTGGAAGAGGAGAAGTTTTCATGGGCCTCAACACAGCCATGGAAGCAGGCACTTTTCCAAAAGGAAGTGACATATAAGTTGAATGTCAGGTTCCAGAAACTGTGCTTCTTGAACCATCTTCCAACGCCTGAGATAGATGACGCCATGTTGTCCCCATGCAATGTCATGGGAGCAGGGAGCGTGGCTCTCTTTTCAGTGATTTATCCACAGTCCCGGGACAGTGCCGGACACATAGTGGGTGCTTTAAATATTATAGAATGAATGATATGACTGACTGCCTGGGATCATTTCTACCTGATAAGGTCAAGTCTCTATCCATATGATTAAAGAATTTTAAAAAGTATTAAGAAGACAGCATATTAACAATTATATATTCCTAAGAATTATTCTATCAATAATTGACTGAATTCTTAATAAAAGCCCTGTTGTGGTGCTGCAAGGTAATGCACTGGATTACAAGGTTAGTTTAAACAGAAAGGTCAGTGGTTCGAGCCCACCAGCCACTCCTTGGAAACTGGCAGTTCAAATCTACCAGATACTCCTTGGAAACCTTGTACAGGGTCACTATGAGTCAGAATTGACTCAATAACACTTAGCAACATTCTATTAATATGTTTTGAATAATTTTTCATGTTTCAATATATCAATTGCTGTTAATTATAACTCATAGTTAACCATGTATACCCGAGTAGAACTGTGCTCCAGAGGGTTTTCAATGACTGATGTTTTGGAAGTAGATCACCAGGATTGTCTTCCAAGGATCCCCAGGGCAGCCGAGCAAGTGCATTTACATCTCCCAGGGACTCTTGTCTGTCATCATCTTAATGGATCCATAGCCTCTCATGGACTTAACAGAGTCTAATCTCCTTACTCATGTTCTTTCTTTATATATTTTAACATTTTATGTTGTGGTTTTTCCTCTGATGATTGTATTGTTCTTATTGTTGTTATGTATTGTTGAATCAGTTCAGACTCATAGCAACCCTGTATAGGATTTACGAGGAGTGGCTGGTTTGAACCTCTGACCTTGCAATTCAAATTGACCTTGTGGTCTAACACTTAGCCTACAGTGCTGCATACCATCAAATTGCTGTCTAAAAAGCATAGAGATTACTAATCAGGCTGCGAACCACAAGGTCAGCAGTTCGAAATTACCAGCTGTTCCACGGGAGAAAGATGAGACATTCTGCTCCCGTAAAGATTTACAGACTTGGAAACCCTGTACAGGGTCGCTATGAGTCAGGACCGACTCCACGGCACACAGCCACCACCACCTAAAAGAAAGAAAGGAAAGCATGTGCTAATGTCAAGAGTTGGACATGCATGTTCATAGCAGCATCATACACAATAGCCCCAAACTAGAAGCAACTCAGAGGTTTATCAACAGGTAAATGAGAAAACAAATTAGGACATCTTTATACCATGAAACATGACTTAGCAGTCAAAAGACTGAACTCCTGATCAATATGACAATATGAATGAATCTCAAAAGCTTTGTGCTGAGTGAATGAAGCCAGACTTAAGACATAGTGAGTGATTCCATTCACACAGAGGTCTAGAGCATTCACAACTAATCGACAGTCATAGAAATCGCATCAGCGGTGGCCCAGAGACAGAAGAGCCTTTGACTACAAAAGAGCACAAGAGAACTTTCTGAGGTGGTTGGCAGCATTCTACGTTCTCACTGTGCTCGTGGCTGCACACACATATACATTTGTCAAAACTCATTGAATTGCAAACCTAGAAGGTATACAAATTTTACCTCAATAATTTAGACTCTTGGTGTGGCACTGTAGGATAAGCACTGGACTTCAAACTACAAGGTTGTTGTTGTTATGTGCCATCGAGTCGGTTCTCCTCGGAAATCTTGTACGGGGTCACTATGAGTCTGAATGCACTAGATGGCACTTAACACCAACAAAGTGATTGAAGGAAAAAAAAAGGCCTTTCCCCAAATAGAGAAAACAAAAACAAGAAAAATGATATTTGTATCTGTGCCAATCTAGCAATGCCTAAATGAATCTTTCCCCATATCCTTGTCAAAACTGTAATTTCCTTTTTTTTTTTCTAAGTTCATTTTTGATTTTTTGTCAGCTCAGTGAGTTTTTTTGAAATTTACCTTGCTTTAATGTGAGTCTTGAAGGAATGCCTGCAGTCCATCGGGAGGTAGAAGAGTGTGAGAAGTGTCAAGGAACTGGACGAAGCATGTGAGTGAGAGAGCCGGTGTCTGGAGTGGATGTTGGAGAGGCAGGCAGGAGTCAGGCCTGCAGGACAAGGAAGCCAGGCCAAGGAGTGTGGGACACTGAGGGGGAGTGGAAAGATTGTAAGTGAGCTGGGGAGTTTTCTCTTTAGAAAGACCACTCTGTTTGTCTTTGACGGGGAGCGGGGGGCAAGTAAGGTTTGGGGGAGGAGAGTAGACCTGGGAAACCAGTTGTGTGAGATGGTGGGGACAGAGTCAAGATTGTTTATGTTAAGAAGAGGCTGACTGCAGTGTAGAGACTGAACCACCATTAGATCTGGACCCCTGCCCCAAATCCTGAGACATCGAGGGCCTCACACACACACACACATACACACACACTGTATTAAGCAGTCCATAAGCACCACTATCACTGGGACCTACATGTCCATTTCCATGGTCATCACTGCTCAGGTCCAGTTCTGTACATGTGTTGCAGACTAGAACTGCTCTATACGGTTCTCTTGGGTGTATCTTTTAGGAAGCAGATCACCAGACCTTTCTTCCATGGTGTCACTGGATGAGTTTGAATCTACTAACTTTAAGGTTAGGGTGAGTGCAAATGGTTGCTCCACCCAGGGACCTCCTTCACAGACCTGAACATAGTACAATGTTCTCCATCTCCTTACATTTCCATGGATGCTTTTGTGCCTCTGTGGATTGATGCTCTGAGGCAACCTTCCCTTGCCGGTACCTAAATCTGGCCCTGGCACAATGTCCAGAGAAGTGTGGCAGCATCATAGAGTGGTCAACGATTCGAGCTCACAAGGGCAGCATTTAACCAAGGACAACACTCAGAAGGGCTGAGAAAGAAGGAGAAATGGAAACAAAAAACAACAGGGAGGAAGTAGGATGAGTGATGCTACCGTGAAGTCGTTGAAATGAAACAACATAGAATGTAAAACAGATGATCTGCACTAGAAACCTTCACTCAATTCACGATAAAAAGTTGAACAAAAGAGAAAGAGAAGTGTGGCAGGAGAGGAGCCAGAAACTCCCTTAAGCAGTGTAGGGTGGTGATGACGGTCTATCATGGCTCTACTGCTTGATAGCTGTGTAACCTTGGGCAAGTTACTTAACCACTCTGTGCCTCCATTTCTCCACCTGCAAAATGGAGATAATAAAAGTACCCACTGGGTTGTTATGAGAATTAAGGGAATGAATATTTGTGAAAAGCTTATTAAATGAAACAAATTTGCTTTAAGACTTTGCTGATTTTAATAATCACCACCATTTGTTTAATGAGAAAGCACGGTGGGGAGGAAAGCAAGAAAGACTCCTGCGTTCAATAAATACTCAGAGATTGCAAGTTACACACCACTTCTAAATACATCAAGAGGCAAAACCATGTGGAGCCCAGGTTCAGTAGCTTCATTCCCCACATTGGCTGGAAAAACAGTGGCTGGGAGAAGTGAAAGGGCATGGCAAAGGTCATAGTGAGTTTTAGTTTTAGGCAATCCGGGAAGCACACCATTTGAAACCATTCGTTTTCTGGAAATAATCCATTTTAATGTTTCTTCTCCAAGGTCAGGTTTAACTCTGTATCTGATGACTAACTTCTGACCTTCTAAGTGAGCCCTGGCAGTATAAACAGGCCACGTTAGGAGCTCTGTGCCTGGGCTGAGGAAATGTCCCAAAAGAAGATTTGCTCAAGGTCAAATCCTGTTGTGTGATCTCAAGTGACTTACACAACGTGCTTGGGGTTCAGTTCCTCATCTGAAAAACCATGTGTCACATAGGCTGTCTGTGCATGAGATGCAAAGGTATGGCACCGGCTTTGCAGTCAGTGCGAAGACCTTGCAGCCACTATTGTTCTCCATGCGGCTTTTAGAAAGTTGTTAAACGAAGTTGTCAACCATATACATGAAAACCCAGTTGAATATCCTCAATTTCATATGGTTCATCCCACTATATGGTCTCTGGGTGGCACAAATGGCATAAACTGTGGCCAAAATCCAGCCAGTGGTACTGTGGAAAAAATGACCTGCTTCCATAAAGGTTCCAGCCATGGAGTGGTTCTATTTTGCACACATGTAGTCACTAGGAGCCAGGATTGGTTCTACCCATGAGACAATAACAACAATAATACCCTATATTCATTTAATAATTGTCCTATCTGGTGGGCAAACAAAGCAAGGCGAATCATTCCCATTTTGCAGAGGGAGAAACTGAGGCCCAAAGAGAGAGCCTCCCAATTCTTGTAAGAAAGCCTCCCAATTCTTGTCCACACCTCCTGCAGTTTTGGAACACTGGGCTGTTGCCTTGTGGATGTGAATGCCCATGCCTGGTATTTGATTTACTGTGGACAGAGCAAAC